GGAAATGTTGGTAACACCTGCAAGAAGGTCAAATGCACTGCTGACGGGCGTGGCTAGCGTCTCAGAGCATGCAAGAGAACATGCATACGACTCCTCGACAATCATGGCAACATATATAATGGCTGGGCAAGGTGCTTCGATAGAGGCGGCCCTTTACAGTTAACGGCATCACCATAAACCACTGATCAACTGGGTCGGGCTTCAGCAGCCAGGCAACATCACAGGTTTCAATGAAAAGGATGTAATTTAACGACATAATCGCCGGGCACAAAGCGACGCTTCAACAGAGGCGGCCCTGACAGCAACAATGTGGGTATACAAAAGTGGAGCAGACAGAGGCCAGGCGATAGCGGCTGGAAAGCATAACAATAAATTGATCTTAATGACGCAGTAGTAAAAAAAAAAATCTAGGACGGCCAAGCTTTGGTTGGGGCGGAAGAGGCAACAGCCGCCAGCCGCCATTACCAGTAAAAGAAGGATGCGTCGGCTATTTGCATCATTGTCTGACGCGAAGAATCGACCGCAATAATAGAAATGGCCATGAGACCTTTTACAGAACAAGCAGATTTTGCAGTGTTGCGTTCTTGTGTGTGCCCTGCCAAACCCAGGCAGGATGTTCTGGGTCCTGGTCCAAACCTAGGACAAAGCGCGTACAAGCTGTATTGGGGCTTTTGAGGAGATCTCAGTCTAACCTCCTGCAGTTTTCACCTGATTGCAGCTCCTTGAACACCTGCCAGTCCAGGTGTGCCTTTGCAAACCACTCAGCTGTGCTCCTTGTGGGGGTACTTGATCCACAGTGCAAGTGCAGGTCTTAGGATCTGTTTGGTGACGTTGCATTGCTGGTTCGGTACGGGTCTACATGCTGCTGTGTAGTAGCTTAGCAATACAGGTGGCGGCAAGCATTGTGGGGCATTGGGTACCCCCCTTGCTTGTTTCACCGAGAAGCGCTGTTATTGCAAGGATCTGGGCAGTCTTTACAATGACAGCAAATGGCTGGACCCACCCGCAGCACGCACAATCTGTTTGGCCTGTGTTTGCGTCCATGTCCTGCCCTTGACTTGTCGCTGATTTGGACCGACATACATCCACAAGCAGCCTTGCAGTCCTTTTTGGCAGTTGATACTTGTCTGCGTGCTGGGATGCATATTTTCGAGTATTCATGACGTGTGTGCTACTGATGGTTTGAGATATGTGGGACGCTTAATCAGCCCTGTGTGGCTGGAAAAAGTGTAATCTCTCTCTCTCTCTCTCTCTGCTGAGTGAGTCATTGTCAAGATTAGGCAACATCCAAGAATTGTCTCAAAACTGAACGCGCTGCAAAAATAGATTGTTGGCAGCATAATTCTTGGCATTGCTGAATATTCCAAAGAAACTGCCGACAAGTTTTCAGTTCAGTGTAGACAGTTGACGCAGCACAGCCCCAGATGAACTGTTACAAAGCTCTGTAGAAAAAACGTCGACGAGACTCACCAATATAAAAGAATTTCAGTCGGCTTGCGCTGTTGAACAGGCACTCCGGGATGCTTCCATTCAGTCCTGCAACTCCAACAAGCTCCAAATGGTCCACTGAACGGCTGACAAGGTCACAAATGGTGGCTTCGCCTGGCGAGACAGGTGACTCAGGCAGCAGTGGTCCTTTGAATAGAGCTCCTGTCACAATGATGGTGTGCAAGTTTTTGAGCGGCGCAAGACCGGCGGTGAAGTTTGCAAAGCTCGTGGTGTTCACCTGCAAAACATTATAGATCAGTTTAATGCCATGGACCTCCGCATAATTGGGCGCATTGCTCTCTTGGACAAATTTACTGGAAGTAGCAGTGGTAATTCATAGCCGGGCCGCAGACAGGTGCCCCATTATTTAAGGAAATTAGAATATTTACTGTGGTGAAAAGAATTGCAAAGTCCAGGTGAGTTATTGTCTCTTGATGAAGCAGTGCAAGAAAGAAACATAACCAAGAGCAAAGGAAATACTGGCAGTTGGCCAATTTTAGGAAAGTTGGTGAAGGAAATGACATCATTTGGAGGAGAGCAGAGGACATTCCCTCTGCTCTCCATAAATGCTAAAACTTTTGCAGATGCCCTGCCGAAGACTTTGCACAGGTTTACAATTTGAGCATTGAAACAAATGGGACTCACAGCATCGGCAGTGTTGGTGAGAGTGATGGTGTTGAGACTCTGAAAGGCCGCAAGTTCGCTGTAAGGAAAGGGGCTTGGATAACAGTCCAGCCCAAGGCCACCGAAGTCCAGTTGGGAAAGTGTCCCATTACTGTGGCAGACATTCCCTACACACAGCAAAAACAAGCTGATCCGCGCTCAACTTGCCCCCCACTCGGCGACTTTTGCTGTTTGAATCATATTTTTCATCCGTGCATGTGTGACAGTTGCAACAGTTTTGTGTTGCAGCATAAAGAGAGAAAATCACCTGGGGCTTTGCAGAAATCAGTGAACGCATCGGCAGGGTCATTGGATTTAATTATCTTGCCATAGGATCTCCATTTGTAGCAGCCATAGTGCCTGCAACAACTGCGGCCGACAGAGACATGTCAGTCTCCAGTGCAAAATCTTGAACAAGGGTGGTCTCTTCTAGCCAAATTTCATCAGCGTTCATCAACAAACATTGACATTTCCATTTGTGCATCACGTGATTTTTGCTTTTGAAATGGCAACTGGTATATTGCCCAACCTTTTGAAGATGTTTCGGAGGGCGTCTTGCTCAGCAGCTACTAGAATTGGGGTGGGAAATAGATGCGTAAAGGTGACCGTCACATTGGCCGGCAAAGTGTTCTCCTTGGAATACTCCACCTGCACACAGAGCCAGTTGGAAACTCCCTATGGACCTTGAAAAATGCAGGCTTTGTGGCATAATTTATAATGTTTGCTTTGCGTAGCTTCCTAAACTATTGGGAAAATAGCAAAGACATCTTCAGGCCTTGGCACTGGGTCTATTGAGGCGCATGAACCAATCAAATGGACATATACAAAACAGAGGGGCTGGCGCACCATGCAGGTGACTCCATGTGTGAACTCATAGCCTGCGCTGATGCCGGTCTTGGACGTTGTAGCGTTGAAGATGGATGTGTCAGAGCTGTTGGTATTCACCACAAGCAAAGCGCTGCCGTTCATGACACCTGCCAACATAAAGCCGTCATGCTTTTGTCATATACTACTGAAGCTTTAACACCACAAGCACTGATAACCTTCAGCATCACAGGTATGCATAGTTTTTAGGAAAGCAGTGCGCAGCTGGGACCATCACAGGTGTGCATTACCATGTGGACTGTAGATAATACTGTTTTTTAATAAGGGTCTAGAGCAATAAGACTGTGCACCCAACATCCGCGAATGTGCCATTGCGGTGTAAGATGGTGGTGTGAGCTCACCTGACTTCCAGACTGCAGTCTCAAGAGTGGGCACAGTGCCACTGTCATTGTAAGTTTTCCCAAAACCAGGCGAGCAGTAGATGCTCAGGGACCTATTTGCACCAGATGCTCCAACCACGGTGGCATTCACAAGAGTATCAGCCAGAGGATCGCTCCCAAGGAGAGATATTGTCCAGTTTTTGGCCTGCCCCTGCAGAGACAATATGTATCATATTAGCTAAAAATTGTACTTGTCTTCTGAATGGCATCAACTTGATGCGGGCGATACTCTGCACGGCAGAATCGAGAAGAAAGGCTCTAAGTCACTTCCAGTCTATTCATTTCCATTTGTCTACATTCTAATTGCTCTGTCAGTGTTGAGTTGCCGATAATGGTTTACCGGCTGAACTTCTACACTTGCTGAAAGTGCACTCCCGGGCACGCCAGGATGCTGCATCACGGTTAGTGATGGAAAGCCAAGACCGGTGTCTTCCTTCAGCGCCCTTCCAAGCCGGCCTGTAGCACAGAATTCCGTTGTACTGCATTAACAGCAAGAGGTATAACAGTAAATTATTAGGAAGAAAGCCCTGCTCTTGGCGATGAAGCACTAGCTCACGAAGCCGTTACGCGATAAAATCTCACCTAAACCGAGAAGCCCCCTTGTATTGTAAATTGTCTCGCCCACCGTTTGAGCGCTTTCTGGACCATCGCTCTTAAGGTAGGGAGCCAAGCCCAACGACGAGCCAACGCTCAGAAAGAGCAATATGAGCAGAAGCAGACGACCCCTCAGATCGGCCATCACGTCCGGACTGAGCACGACGGAGTCAGTGATTTTGCTCGTATCCTACACAAGTTTTCTATATTTCTCCGAACAATATAAAAAAGGCATTTGACTCGTCTTCCGGCTTCTTATGTCTCAGGTCACCGCTCTGGGGTGCATGGTGGGATGTAATTTTTTGTATTCAAGTCATACGGGTCGTCGTAATGTCGAAACCAACGTCGATCACTTCCACGGCAAGAGACGGCGTACCCTCCAAGTTCTGGCGGAGTACCTGTGACCGCCTAGATCAGACCTTACAGCGGGGGCATTGGGGCACGGTGTGAGCAGTTGGAATGTAACCCGTAGAAATCTAAAAAGAGCTGCCATGAAACCCACAGATTTGGACCAGCTGAGGGCGCAGACGTCGACGTCGCTGCATGACGTCAGCGCGCGCACGCTAGGCCCTAGCATCGTGATGACCGCATGATGACGCATGACCCGGGATCATGCCTCAGCATGCGGATGACCATGTCTTTGACGGATGGCCATCCGTCGAGAAACATGGAGAGACAGCTGACTGCTCCGGAAGCTCGAGCGACAGGCTGCAACGCTGTTTTTATAAACAAGTTCAAGATCCTGTCATACTTTCTTTCTGTCATCCAAATTGGTCATCCAATCATCCAGGTCATAGAACTACGAGATGTGATCAGCCAACAACATTTCCCTCAGAAAATGTCCATACTATACAATGGGTACACTGTACATGGCATGTCCTCAGGCTGGCGCTCAAACCAGGACTCCATTGATCATGCGTGCAGAAATCGATCATCTGCACAATTGCATTCTAGCTCTCTTGTCCCACAAAAGAGCCATGGCCGGGTCATCAATGCTCAGCTTTACATTGTACAATGTTGTATGCAACGTCCTTCATCAGAGCCCACACAGGTTCATAGATTGCTTGCAGCAGATTGCGACCCTGCTGCAGGCAGTTCTGATGAGCTTGCAGCAGGTGAAAAACTGATCATCCTATTTAGCTGGGTTCAGGATCCCCTGGGCGAGTCTATCCCCCGGGGGCCCCTCATTGAACAAAATTTTTCCTTGAGTAATGGAGAATCTCAGCAAATCTCCTCTACCACGCTGGACCTCGAAACCACCCCAGCCTGATGCACCGGCATCCTTAGAGACCACCATCTAAATATCTCAACCCACATGACAGTACAAGCGATTAAAAGTTCTCCAAACCTGCAAAAACTCCTTAAAGGCTGTCTTGTGTACTCTAAAAAGTCAGCTTCAGGCAGAGAAGGGCTCAGTATCAATCACGCCATGCAGAGTTCTCCTGATTATTCTGCAAGCAGGGCCCAGCAACTCTGCCATGGGCTGCAACTGCTCACGCATGTGGATATCATGTAATGTCATGGCCATGATGTGTGGTTAAAGCAGGACGGATACTCACATTACAAAATTGCCATGAACACAGCACTTCACCATACTGTGATGGGTGCATCTCACATGGGTTGTGGCGCCTCGACGCCGCTCATTGCTGTGTACGGTGCTGGGGCCATTGCATCAGCAGCTGCGAAGGGCAATGAGTTGTAGATCTCTCCATGGAACAAGTTTGTCGGCTGCTTTACATTAGGGTGCACATAGTTCAGGTCCCGGAACAAATTCAGAGGGTCGAACGCAGCCTTCACTCCTTCCAGTCTACCAAAAATGCCTGCCTCATATGAATTTCTCGCGTCATCAGCTTCCGCAAACATAATTTCTGCAGCCAAACACAAGAAGCTCAGCAAGCGCAGCAGACATTAAGCTTTTGATGCAAGGGTATTGACTTGAATGGGCAGAAGAGCATGCGTGCGCGCATTCACGACACTCCCATTGACATGATGAGCGGGGTTAGCGTCCCCTGAAATTTTCATGGCTCCGAAGCTTCACACTTCACATTGTGTACAGCCCCAGCAGATTCCACACACAGAGGGATATACTTCAAAAATTTAGTGGGGTTTCACACACTTCACTTCTCAAGAAAAACAAGACCCTAAAGAATTCTAAGGTTAGGGTGCAGAGGGACTCACGGTTGATGTAGTTGCCGACAACATAGGGCTTAACGGCTGCGCTTGATGCTTCAACATAAGCAATGTGCTCTGCATCGTCTGCTGGAATGTCCCAGGTGTCCCCCACAAAGATGTAGAAGGACCCGCGGAAGCTCCAAGCATCTGGTGTATAATAGGCAGCATCCTACACAAAGCACAAGATGATAATTGCAGAGCAACATGTCTATACAAGTGTAGAAAGCCTGCCTCTCATGACATAGCATGCGTCAAGACTCTGGAGATTGTACATTGCCTTGCACTTTTATCAAAACTAGAGGCTCTAGGGAGCAGTGTCTTGATGTAAGCTTATGAGCTGGCGCCTGATGGAAGCACCTCGCCACAGCATTAGGCATAGTGAGGATTGCATGCAGCCAATAAGACAGGTCTCACCTCGCCCTCAGGCAAGCTGGGGCCTGGCACAATGCTGATTGAGAGTGTACTGAAAGGGGCTGCCTTGATCTGGGCTATCGCGGCATTGATGAGCCCAATTGGTAGATTTCCGCTTGTCAGAGTGTCATTGGCAGTGAAATACCTGCATGCACATCAGATAATAGAGGCGTCAATTACGACTTTATCATCTAACTCTATCATCTATTAATCAGAGTGTTGAAATCAGCGAGCAACATTGGCCCTAACTTCAGCTTGATTGCTGCCAAAACAGGCTCACCTGACATGATAATCTGCACTGGCCATATGCCTCAAACAAAGCTCTGCAAACTGTCCAGATGCACTGAATGAGGATGAGGGAGAGGCTGATGGCAAACTCTTTGCCTGATCAACCATGATTGGAGCTCACGTGTTCCAGTAGGTAGCAGCCGTCAGATTGCCGCATTCGCCTAGACTCTGGTCCTTTGAGAAGCTCAAGTAATCCCTTTCCGTGTACAGTTGGCCTGGCTGGGAATTGCTGGATGCCCTGCACATCACAGGCGGCATAACTTCTGAAATGTGCTTGCCCTCAAAGCAGTCCCAGAGACGATGAGGCTAGGAGAAAGGTCCCAGGTAGTTCCGTCTGCGGCATACTGTGCCCTCCTGGGAATCTTTACAGGCCGTACGCGTCACGGAAAGCATGCTTGGCATCAATGCAGCTGCTGCCTGGAAGATTGGCAAGAAGAAAGGCTTCTCTATTTCACAGCAGATTCAATCCGGCATGTCAGCAGAAGGGGAACTCAAGGGCAGTGCCACTTGTGCTCTGCCTCGCCTCATGCTAACATTGGGGAGCTGTGACCGGTGTCAATCAACTTCACTGCAGCAAGCAGGCACATGTAGTGGATGCCTTGCAAATGTGGATTCCCTTCACGAAACCCACTTCCGTTGAACATGTCAGGCAGATGCTGTCCCAGAATTATAAGGTGCATCCAACCCATCACCCATGCCAACCTGAAGAGAGGACTGCATAAATGGTGGCAATGAAGTTACCTGGGCACAGCGTAGGCCGCAACCTGCTGAAAATACGCCTCGGTCGCAGCTGTTGGCGGGCCAAGATTGAAAGCGCTAAGGAACAGAGTCGCAGGCTTGCCATTCCCGGCAGGGGAAAGCAAGAGTCCAGGATAGATTTGACGAGGAGATGTTGCAGTGATTCCGGCATACCTGCATGTGACACAATGCTCCATGTCAGTGTACGTTGGGTGCGGCTGTCTCAGAGACTTGCAGGAAACCTCAGGCCATCTTTGGCTGGACCAGCACTGGATTGTTCTCCATTGGGAATAATTTGGTGCAATTATCCCCGCAACCCTTCAGCTCAAGCATGTGCAGTTTTGACTGTTGCATGCGCTATATCTCTTTCGTGCCATGTGCTCTCCCCAGTCAGGCAATCGCATGAATTAGGTGCACTGCAGCTCTTCTTTTTCGCTTGACTTGCAGCGCATGATGACATGTTTGAAACAAGCAATGTGCAAGTGTGCGGAAAAATTCACTAATCAGGCGCTGCATCAGGGCCTTAAAGCCTGACAGAAGATGCCGGTCATGCTCACTACCAGTGGTTGCGAGATGCTGGACGGATTGGATTGCGCAGGGCTCATAGTAACAAGCAACTTCACAGCAGCTTCAGGCAAGAGAAAGCTCACCATGTCATGACCTCTGCAGCGATGTCGATGGGAAAGGTGTAAGCAGCCGACTGCACCTGCAGGTGCAAGTCCAACAGAGATTCAACAAAGAGTTTCATTGCAATACAGGCTGCAATGCGCATGCAATCTCTTGCCAATCAGAGTCATGGACGCTCCCACACGCAGTGGCAATCAGTCTTCATGATGGCGGCTCCTTTGCAGTGTCAATGACCGTTCAAAATGCAAAGGCTGCATGCACCTGGAACCACTCTCGAAGGCGGCAGCATAGCAACAAAGTTCCGGTGTATGGCCACTGCATTGCCATACAATGCAGCAGAGCAGGTGGGTGCTGTGAAGCGCACGTTGTCGGGGATGGCAAAGGCGTGAGTGGTGTAGCTGATGGCTACTCCCAGTGCCCCACCAGCGCCTCTGAAGCCCCAGAACAGGTCGGGGTCGACTTCCGGACTGATCGTCTTACGAACAGCCTTCTTGTCCGCCCTGCAGGTCAACATGCTTGCAACAAACAGGGGAGCAAGAGCCTCGGCATTGCAACATTGCTCTGCGAAAGCGCTGGCATGATCCCTTTCGCATGAGCTGAAGAGCCTAATCTGATGCAAGCATTGTGTCACGGGCCGCTCAAGGGCCTAGTCAAACGACGGCAAGGCAGACGCAGGAAGGGCCAGCTGGCAGTGACAGCGTTCGCGGTATTAGTGTGAAGTCTGCAGCACCAGGCAGGTATGGGACCCTGGCCATTACCCATGTTTCCTAGAGACATGTACTGAGTCCAAGCACTGCCGATCCACACACAGTGGAGATCTCACCCGACAGAAACAACATCTATGCTTTGAATGAAGTCTGCAGCGACGCCATGGTAGCGCAAGACCAAGCCGAGGCCGCCCTGCAGCGCAAAGCCGGCAACGCCGACATGAAGACAAGTACCGATGCTGGGCAGGCGTTTTTTGGGCACCAGCGCTGCTGCCACCTCCCCACTGTTCACTCCCATCTGCAGCAGCAGAGCCAAAGTCAGCCTGGTGGTGCAGCTTGTGCTTGAGCATGGATGCAGCATGTTGCATGTTGCATTGCACATGCCTCCAGTCTTGGATGATTCACGGACAAGTAAATGGGCAAGCGACCATGGAGCAACAGCACTTCATGCGCCAAGCGGCATGCGCAGGTCATCCTCGAATGCCATGACTGACTTTAACCCGAAGAGGTCTGGGATGTCAGCCTATGGACGTCATCTGAACTACAAGCTCTGGATGTTTGGGTGCCCGGAAGTATTCGAGAAATAGGCGCGGAAGCACCTTAAGCTATTGTGCTGATGCCGGCAATATTTTAAAAACAGGTGCGCCAGCACAGCAGACATGGGATATCAGACTATGCAAAAACGCTCTGTGCAGCAACATTGCATGCCCAAGTGCTGGACAGGCTGCTGTCTCTCTCTCTGTCACACGTGACCAGAGGCTAAAAGGAAACCCTTTGCGTAGGAAAAAGCCTGTCTCTTGTACTCTCTGACAAAACAGGTGATTTGCTGGGCTGCAGAGGGCACTCCCTATGAGAAAAGGCCTTTTCTGGCATGACAATGTACCGGCAGCGCTTGACGGCATGGTAGCAAACTGGGTTGCGGGGTCGAGGAGACGGCATGCGGCTTGTTCAGAATGATGGCGAGAGCGCTGTCAAGAATGCCATGCAGGCCGCATCTCTCTTGTCAAGACACAATCTCAGCATTGCTTGGGAGCTTGTTGGCAGGAGGAGTTGCCTGCACGGTGGCCAGGTTAGTGGCCGCGTCAAAGTAGATAGACTTCAGCTTCTCCATAATGATGGTAACTCCGCACTCGGGTAAGGCAACCCCAGAAATCTGGTGCCCGGTGCCCAGGGCAGAGACTTTGAGGCCGTAGTCTGCTGAAAATTGCACTGCCGCCACAACATCCTCTGGCACATTGGCGGTCACGATGAATCTGCATAGCATGCATATTCCACGTGTCACACGGTGCAGAAATGCACACTGGGCCGGCAGGATGTTGCTATTCCGATATATGCCATGCATGGCATGGAAGGATGTTGTACAGTACACTAAACCACAATAGCTGACAATGCACCGCGCAGAAGCTTTGGAGCGCCAAATACAAGGACAATGGGGAGAGACTCTCACATACAAGATTGCGGCAGGCAGGGTGTATTTATATATCGGCTAAGTACCACCAAATATCCCAGCCTGGAGATTAAGTGGTAGTGGACAGTGCGCCTTGAAGGCAGTAATCATGTACCAGAGCCACACAGATCTCTGAGAGTGACAGGCTTGGGTAAGTATGTGTCAGGGGCTGGATTGCACCGTGGCGTGGTGTAGACATAGACGGGATTAGTGCCATTCGACAGGCCATCCGGGATGATGCTGGCGCTGTAATGGTAGGAGAAGTGAGTCTTGAGAGCTGTTGGGTCGCTAAGCTTGGCGCGAAACAATGCGACCTGGAGTTCATTCGGGCCTGCGCAGCATAAAGCGACCTGTTGCCATGTAAGTGCAAGACTATACAGGCCCATGCAATCATGGACCCGCTTCACCAATAGACCGTGCGCCTGAGAGCCGGGTGGGTCAACCGGGTGCTAATCAATCGGGTGCAGTATTGACACACCTGTCAGCAGCGCTGACGCTTTGCATCCCAGCACTGACGCTTCACCTGCAGCGTAGGCTGGGACATAGAGGAGCAGTGCGCCAAGCAGCAGAAGTGGGGCTGCTCCTAGAGTGTGCCTGTGTAGACAAGAACAGCAAGTTTCTCATGAAATTTATCTCGACACAATTCACGCATATTCAAAGAGCAAGTGCACAACTCACAATCTCGTGGTGGCTCTCCTTGGGCACGCAAGGTGATTGCGAGGTCACCCACATGAGAAGAGACAAATTCATTTAAAGCAGCACATTCATCGGCAGCTTTCTTGCAATGCAATGGATGACCCCCTGCAGGTGCCCGCTGGTCACTTCTACGAGGACTGGTCTACGACTTACCGCTTGTGGGCCATGCCGGCGTCCTCGTGAAGCAGCACTTGGACTAGTACTGCAGCCCTTCGCACCCAGGATCGGTCTTCGGCCTTGCACCCCCTCCTGAAAAGATACTCAGGGGCCTCTACTGCAGCTGCTGCAAGCTCTTGAACCCCAGTTCCCTAGAACGGCGTCGTAGACCGTGGTAGCTGAAAGCTTTCAAGCTGAGCATAGCTGATGGAAGTTGAACCATCATGGAACCAACTGCGCAGCGAACAGTCGCTCTTGCTGCAGTGTGCATCATCTGTAGAGGTTTAATTGCACTGACATGCGAAATACAGAGCTGGCCGTGATGTTCATGTCATACGCCAGTCCATCGCAGTGATTGAAACTCATGTGAGGCTTTTCGAGCATACCCTTGAACTTCGAAGCTCTTGCTTTAGATAGGCTCGTGGGTCCTTACCAAGCCCAAATCACACTGCCAGTGGACTCGAGGTAAATCACTGCATTTACACCGTGAATACTGTGATCGGACAGTGACTTCATTTTGCAAATTTTGCTGGCAAAAAAATTTCAGCCTGCATCCATATTCACCTTGTGCACATGTGTGCTGCAGAACATAGGTCACCCCTTGCTTCACGCTGCGATACCCTTTTAATTCAACGACAGATGTCTCAAAAAGTGCACTGAGACTCAAATTTTCCTGTTGACATCAGGTTCACATGTCAGGATGCGCCATCCATGGACCGAGCCGTCAACTCCTGCAAGCCCTTATCATTTGCTTCCTTTTTGCGGACACTGCCAGAGCAAAACGGTTTGCAATTGTTTCAGTGATTACTGGGCCTGTGCCAAAGGCGTACTATGCCCAAGCAGTGACGAATCGGGCATTGTATGCAACAAGACATAGCTATACGCTTCGAATTTTTCCTACAATTGATGAGAGGCGCCCAACAGCATGGTCCAAGGTTTTGGCAATGAAAAGCACGATCAGATCTGCGCAGTATGATTGGATTCTATGGATGGACGCTGATGCTCTCATTACCAATTTTGAGATCAGCTTGGATGAATTTGTGCCATATGGGGACGAGATTGACATGCTGGTCGCGACAGATTGCAATGGACTCAACACAGGGGTTTTCCTATTGAGATCTTCCCCATCTGCGCTTGAACTCTTAGAAGAAGCATATAATGGTGTTCATGTGAGCAACAATACCATTGATCATGTTTGGTGGGAGCAGATGAGTTTTGTACAGATGTATGCTGCTTCGGAAGATGTCCGCAAGCGTACCTATGTGCTTCCTCAGAAAAGCTTCAATTCCTATCCAACTCAGCATGACTGTTCTGGAAAGTCTCATAGCTGGTCAGAAGGTGACTTTATAGTCCACTTCCCAGGGCACTCGGATGAGGACAGAATGGCTTATTTTGAGGAATACTTGCACAAAGTGTTACAACATGGTTGGACTACTTGTACACTTGTGACATGCCTGGTTGTACAATGTGATTCTGTGTGGGGCTGACTGTTGAGACAAGGGAAAGCCGCAATTGTTGCAGGTTATGATTGGGACTTTTAGACGGTATAATTTGTAGTTGGATTGCTTACATTGGATTTGTTTTCAGAATGAACTGCCAATTGGCTTGCAAGAGCTTGAGTATGGACTTGCAAGAGCTTGGGTACAAAGAAGGGTTTGAGCAATGCAGCAGTACGATTTTCCTTTCTAGTGCTAGTAAATCACATGATGCAACACATGGGTCTGCATAGGTTATAAATTCTGCCTCCTACAGCAAATGTAACCATGAAGGGCCCGGATGCAGTAAATCCCCTGTGCGCTGCCCGGAAGAATGACATTTTTCGCCACTTTCGCGCTGATCACAAGCTTCTCGTATAGGTTAGACTAATTGCGACTTACGTGTACCAAAGACCTCCAGAAATACAAATTGATCTGCTGCATCAGCATGGCTTGCTGATTGACACACACAAGGGCAGACCAGTTAGAGGCGCTTATGTTTCCTTTTCAAGCCTTATCAGAGTAATACCATAAATGTCACGATAGAAAGCATGTGCAAGGGACTGTTATATGGGCCGCAAGATTTGGATTCTGAGCAAGGGAAAGCCTCTGGAATGGAGCAAGTTGAATGATTACCTTTGGCTGGATCACCTTCAGTGTAGAATAACAGAGGCTTATCATATGATCTCATAGTTGTACGCTTTCTGGACAAGACCAAGCTTTTGGAGTTGTAACCGATCCACACGGTTTTCGGACTCGCTCAGGAAAGGATACGCGCGGAAAAAATTCGAAAGGCGCGAATGCAGGTCCTGAAGCTTCTCTTTTTGTTGTTCATTTGTTTCCTTGAATTCCTCTGAATACTAAAATTGCTCAATTGCATCAGGATCCACGATCTGAAGAATATTGACATACGATGCCTTTGTGATCCTGCCAATCCTGGACTTCAAGATGGCTTCAAGTGCAGACCTGGAGTCATGGAAGGCTCTGGGTGGCACCGTGAAGGAAGAGAAAAAGCGTAAAAGATTCATCGCACCATCAGGTAGATCATTTGATGATGTACGTTGCGCGATATCGTTCTTAAATCGGAGACTGGAAAATTAACAACGTCGTCATGCGCGTCACAGGGGAAGAATACACCTCCTGGGCGGCTGCAAGCGCTTACCTGCAGTTTTCAGGTGGGAAATGATAAGGATCCTCCAGCCTACATCCAGGGGCAGAGCTTTTGTCTCAGCTTGATGCAACGCCTTGATGACACTTGCAAAGGGTCTGGCAGCGGTTCTGTGCATATGTCAATGACATTTCGAAATCGGTAACCTTCTATATCTCTCTCGATTGCATAGATCAGGCAGCAGTGCTTGACGTCCCCTGACGCATTGCAGGCAAGGATCAGGCAGAAACCCTGGGTGGGAAGGAGAATGCAGAGGCCTCAGCTGGCAAAAACAACGAGGTTGCCCAAAGAATGACTTCAAAGGCCGATGGCGAAAAGCCAAGGGGAAAGAAGGCTCGCCAGAGCAAACAACCAGCCCAGGTTCAAACTGCCTCTGATATAATAGACTGTGTGCTCAAAGGCCAGCAAAGCTTCGATGTCATCGTCATGCAAGTTGCTTTCCTGCGAATTTATCGTGTTGGGAACTTTGATTCCTTTCTGCACATGACAAATCCACTCTTGTGCAGGCTGAGGTGCAAGACGAGGAGGCCAGTGCTGCACCTGGGCCAAGGGTTGGTGGGCCACTTTGTTCAATTTTTTTGCTCCTTTTCACGTTCCCTGCACAGTGCCTGCAAGCTGTCATTGGTTTGCATAAAGCTTCTTGGGCCTTAGCTCTATGTCATATGCTTACCCTCGCTGCCCGTTGACTACACGCGGACCTCTCAAGTGCAATCATCTGTGGTGCAGGGTCTGGGCGGCAGGCGGCCCAAGGAGCCAAGGAGTATAGAGACACAAGCAGGGTGCGGGAGCGCAATGATGACAAGATAGTCGTCAAGGAGGAGGTGATTGCAGCGGATGAGAGTGACGCTGTTGAGCGCCTCAAGGCCGCCAGCGCTGCAGGCCCTTACAGGTTCTATGCCCGCTCGTATCAGAATGCGTACGAACAGCCCTGATCCATTTCCTCTACCGCTGCTTGGCTGGATTCACCTTGTACACCCCTTTTGACAGCATTGTGCCAATTGTCCCTTGGTGGCAATCCTCGGTAACAATGAGAATGTTCATACTGACATTGTGGTTATGCACAGGCTGGTGGACTTCAGCGTGCTAGATGACAACAGCGAACTGCAACCCCTAGAATTCCAAGGCGTCACTGAAACGCCGCTCTTCCTGTCAGGTGAGAGACTGTGCAAAGCATGCCATCCATCAGGCGTTTCTCCATGCCATGCCAATAAATAACACAGTGGAAGTTTGGATAGTTATTTATTGTTCTTTATCTGACTTTTCCAGCTCAGAACCAGCATATCTCAATGACTGCAGGAACGATGCTGCCCAAGGATGGGAAGCAGACTGGGCAGCATGGGGTGAAGCTGACCAAATTTGGCCCAATTCTGTCCTGGTCCGTGAAGCACACAGGGAGCACGTATCAGGTGAGGCGGGATGACTCTCCCTGTCCCAAGCGCTTGTATTACAATTTTGCACCCCTGCCTGACAGCACTTCTCAGATGTTCTGCCATTCCAAGCGCATACGGAGCACTGTACTTCTATGCAGATATGTGTGAAGACCAGCCTGGCTGAGTATGTGGCTGCAAGGCCAGCGCCCACGTTCAAGAGGCTATTCAGCCACCTGATGGAGCAGACTGACATCTCCTTTGAGGTGAGCCCTCCATACCAGCACACCAAGTCTTCCACTGCTTCACTGGTTGTGCAGAAGTGACAGCTGGACAGCCACCACTCACACACATTGCTCAAGATCACATGGTTCGATGGTGTGCATGTGTCTGCAGGTCCAGCGCGCCTTGGTGCCCACTCTCGGCGGCGATCCCGCCACCAGCTTGGACGAGATCGTGGCGCGCCTCGCGCGAGCCAAGGTGAGTCACTTATTCATGTGTAGCACTGCCCCTTTCACCCTGCACAGGGTAGATTACAGATGGCCTCCAATCATCATGATGCTCTCTCTGAACCTCTTGCTTGAGGTGCTGTGGGCTGCGTGCCATCCATGGTGCAGCACCAGGTTTTGAACGGGGTGGTGGACCCATGTGCAGGTGGGCAAGGCCTACGCAGGACCGAGGGAGGCGCTGCGGCTCACGGGTAAGTTTGTGCTCAACCAGCTGCTGGGCACTGCTGGGGCATCGCCTCAGCTTGCCGCGTCGCCGTTTGTCAGCGCCCTGCGGCAAGAGGCATGTTCCCGCCCTATTGCTGCTGCACTAAGCCCTCTCTTTTCTCCACCAAACACCTTGCCCTAAAACACGGCTATGATGATTGCCAAAATCACCGAATCTCATGGGTTTATTGAGGTGGCTGACTGCGGAGCTCACCTTGCCGGTTGCTTTCAAATTTCTTTCGCAGCTGGGGCAAGATGCAGACAGCTCTGAAAAGTAGGTCTTGGTGGTGCGGCAGATGGCGGAGATATCATCCCGAGGCGAGCGCGGGAACGGGATCACGATCCGCGAAGCGGGTGACGAGCCAATGCCGGACGCAGAAGATGCTGAGGTGGACGCCATGCTGGCGGCCGACATCGACTACGCGCGCCAGCTGCAGGCCAAATTAGACGCAGAGGAGGCCCGCAGCGGCAACAGGTCAGCTTTGCATTGCATCCTCACCCCGAGCACCAGCAGAGGACATTCTTGTCTTTATTGATACAATACAGGAAGAATGGACGCAAAAGCGTCGTCAAGCAGCCATGCGTCATAGTTTGTGAAGAGCTGGATTTTGCTGGATCATTGAAGATCTATTATGACTGTCGCAGGCGGCATGCAGGCAGGGGAGGTGTGTACATCAAGATCAACGAGAGCGAGATCGCTGATGACTACCCAGAGCCGGCCCAATATGAGAAGGTCTGCTGCCCTCTGCTGTCATCCCGACGCCAGATGTCCTTGCATGCTCATGCAGTCTCAGAAAGATGGCCCATTGCATGCACAAAACAAGCCAAGTGAGAGGCTTCAGAGTCCTTGCTTTCTTGCTTGGTTTATCAAAGCTGAACATGCTGCAGCGAAAGGCAGGGATTGCATATTGCTGGTGCAGATCGCCATGGCTTCTCCCATTGTTTGAGCATGAGTTGCAAGGGCACTGAAAGGGTGCCTGTTACCTGAACAGGAGGAGGAGGAGACGGACGAGCTGCTGCTGCTGGATGAAGAGATGCTGGATGCTGATCCAGAGGACCTGCCGCGCCGCCTGCTCGCCAACTTTGCCATCTACAACGCTGAGGTCGGTGCCTCTTGTCTTTCACACCACTGCTCAAATTTCTAACCTCTATATGTGCTTCCAAGTAGTGCGCCAATGCACTGTTCCTGTGTTGTGCCTTGCGTAGTCAAAAAGCCTGGTGGCCGTGTCAGTGGGGACAAGGCATGTCCCTCCCATGCTCCCTGCCGCCCGGCTGACGTTTGAGAGTGATGAGGTGGCAAGCTCATGCTTGATTGGGGCTGCTGCAGGGCCTGTACGCGTCGCTGGAGCTGCTGCCGATGTGGAGCGGCATAGAGCCGGACGTGCAGCTGTTTGCGTCTGGGCGCGTCCTGGACGACGAAGGCGACTGGGCCGGCGGCCAGACGCTCGGGGAGGACTCCGGCTCAGGTGCGCGCATGTGCCCCACATGCACCTCATTTTCCATGCTGAGCTCACTGTAGTCACCTTCTGCGACCTGGGCAACACGCATGACTGCACCAACAGCTCTGCGTCGCGGAATGGGGCATGGGAAATATGATAGAACTGAAGGAAAGAGGGTTGCATGCATGCAGGTGCTGCCGATGGGGGCAGCAGCGGGGAGAGCAGGGAGGGGGGCATGTGGCTGGCGCTGAGTCAGATCCAGGAGTGGGTGGTCGAGTTTGGCTGCGACATGCTCCTCATTTCCATCCGCACTGACGTTGCGTGGTACCGCCTGTCCAGGTGGGGCCCCGTCCCAGTCAATGGTACTCGGGTTTATCATCGATTGGTGAGAGGACTGATGCTGATGCCTGCAGAGGAACTACAGACCTGCGCAGCCACGCCAATTTTTTGCTGCATGCTGACGATGGCAGCTGCCTGCATGTACAGCTGTGTTTATTGGATTTAAATTGACACCCAAGGATTTGCGTTGCAGCCCCACGACGGCGTACGCTCCCTGGTTCAATGTGGTCCTTAAGTGCGCCCGCCTGTCTATCGGCCTCCTGAAGAGCCTGACTGAGGAGGTGCGCTCCTGCCTCTCACGCCTTTCCGGTCGCAATCTGAGTGTAATTCACTTCTAACATCCTTAGATTTGTCAAGAGACTCCTGCAAAGAGAGTCCACGTTGAAGGGACTGCGCTATTTGTATTCAGAGTGATCGAACAATTGCAGGGTGCAAATACTCCTGACCACATTGTGCTCTAAAACAGGCTCGCGCATCTCGCCTGTCCTTCAACGACATTGTAAAGCGCCTGGCCACCACCGACGATGCCAGCCCCACCTTCATCTCCAAGAAGGTGCGCTTGACAAAACCCCCAACTTGGCACCCCTCTTCTAATTATTATTGGCGCCAATCCTGGGGAGGTGCTCGCCGATGTCAGGGCGCCAGGATATGGCCTGCCCAAATCGACATTGAGAAATGGAAGTTGAGGCTGCGGAGCTCGGAACAATAGAATTTTCACAAGTCGATGAGTGAAAGAGCCTGAGATATGTGTTTAAACGTGATACAAGATCCATTTGCGAACCGTCTCTAGTGCACCCAGATCAGCATGCGTGGCTCCTTTCAGAAGTATCTATGTGCATTGCTGCTTTCAGCACCTCAAGAAAGACAATTAGCATGTGAGGTACAGCTGTAAGCAAACAAATCTGGCGTTGTCGATCAGGCGGAGGCGGTGGAGCGGTTCGTGGTGGTGCACGGCCAGATCATCCTGAACCAGTTCAAGAATTACCCCAAGAAGTCGGTCGCCAACTCGGCCTTCGCAACGGGCCTCAAGGCGCGCATGGAGCTGCGCCGTCACTGCAAGCTCTACATGGCGGTTCGGCCCAAGGCGCGCGTCCGCGGCCTGCGCGCCAACCCGATGCGCGACCGCGCCCACATCCGCATGAAGCCCATGACGGCCACGGCGACCACCATGGTCAAGGCCATCTGGCGCGCCTACTTTATGCGCACCGGCCAGCTCCTCGCTGGTGCGCCCCCCTGCCCCTGTTGCCTTGCCTGCTCCCCTTTCCTTGATAAAAGAGAGAGTGTTTGCACATTACCAAGCTTGACCTTCAGGCACTGTGCAGCACGCAAGCACCCACACTCTCATGCCTCCTCCAGCACATCACAGAGCTGCCCCTTCCTGAGCTGCAAGCTGCCTTATTTGAGCAAGCCGCCTCTTTGAGAACCCGCTTGACCTTAGCGTCAATCTGTGTCATCCCAGCGTGCTGTTTACCGCTGCTTGTCGCCCTCTGCTGGACAGCAGCCGGAGCATATGTCCTGCAGGTTTCCATGGCAGAGTAGAGAGCAGGCCATGGCCCGGCAGCAGAACACAAAGCACAGAAGCGTTGCAGCACATGATTACTGAGGCGGCAAGTTCTGCTCAAATAGGTGACAAGCAGGAGGCGGCCGGCGGCGAGGCAGCGGAGGGAACGGTGGTGGACGATGATATCAACGCAGAGGATGACGAGGCGCCCGAGGAGGACGCCCTGGCCGCTCCGGCAGCCGCGCCGCAGCCGGCACCGGCGTTGCTGTCCCCGCGGAAGGTCCCGGCCTCCGCCATTGCGTGGGCCGGCGCTGCCATCCAGACGACCGGCGGCAACACCTTCTACCGGTGTGCTGCACGCTTTCTTTGCAGCTGCAGCGCACAAGGAGCGCCAGTAAAGAATTGAGCTGGTTGTCAGGACACCGATGACCAGGTCTCAAGCATGCAGTCTTGTGTGAGTCATTAAAACAAAGACACAAAGTCCCTAAAGCATACAGTATCGTGCGATTTGGGGTGTGCAAATTATAATATGTGTTTGCTCCATGCAGGGGTGTGAAGCTGGGAGAGGAGAAGGTGGCCTTGGGCGACATTGTGGCCTTGACTGGCGACGACGATGAGGAGAGCGACCTGCAATATGCCCTGCTGCAGGCCCTCTGGCAGACCGCCTCCAAGGCCAAGATGATGCAGGTGAATTCCTAAATTTCCCTGGTCAGTGGAATATTTGACATTGATCCCAATATCAGTACTGTGCTGGCTGTGATAATAACCACTTTCTGCTGCGCAGGTTCGGCTGCTGGTGAGGGGCACAGACACAGTGCTGGGCGATGCAGCAGGCGACGAAGAGCTCTTTGCTACGGAGACGCTCATGACCAGGTAAGAGATCTTTCCAAAGCGCCGACACCACCTTATCCACGCACCTGCAGCTTACACCCCTTGACTTGTGAATGGATTTCTGCATTGTGTCTGCTGTGCTGATGCATGGATCCAGCATCGTGGTGTTGGTACTGGCAGAATGCAATGGCGACATCATTGAACATGCATGTGAGCATGCGCGTTGAATGGCACAGGAAGGTGACGCTGATCCGCGAGAAGGTGCCGGGCAGCCGCCTGGTGCGCGACTTCCAGTCCTTTGGGCAGGCGCCGCAGTACAAGAAGGTGGGCGAGGTGGCCGACCCCGCCAAGCCAGGCGACAAGGAAGAGGCAGACAAGCCGGTAGAGTACTTCTACCGCAGCTTCTACCTGCCCCACCAGGGCATGTTCTGCCAGCTGCCCAAGGACCTGCAGCTGGGCCAGCGCCTGGAGGTGAGTTTTATGAGGTCTTGCCCTCCACGCAGAGCAGCTCACAACAGAGAACTCGCTGTAATGCTCTGGCCTTTAGTAACCAGACGAGGGGTGATCCATTGCAGCATGCATACCAGGTATGTGCAAAAGGGGAGCCTGGCTCAGGCAAAGAGGCAACACAGAAATCTGAACACTGCTTTAGCTGCTGGCGATCCTGCGTCAGACCTCCAGACAACCAATAAAACAGGAGGCCATGTTTGTCAAGAATTACTGCTTCCCAGGGGCAGCTCGATTGACATGTATGGGCTGTGCATCAGGAGCCTGACGAGGACGTGGAGGATGCTGAAGCGGCAGTGACGGCAGACGGCAAGGTGGCCAAGGGCGGAGTGACCTACGGCCCCGGCGACTGCATCTTCGTGCACCCGCACACGTTTGACGCGCTGGAGGACGACGCGGCCGACGCGCCCGAGGTGCCGGCGTACGCGGCCAAGGGGCGCTTCCACAAGGGCGGCGCCAACGTCGGCCTGCGCGCCTTCGGCATCGCGCGCGTCGTCGGCTTTACGGCGCCCGCCGGCAAGAAGGCAAGACCCTCGGTGCGGCCCCTGGACTGCTTTTTCCTTCTGTCACCCTGCCAGGTCGAGCATCCTGCTCCATGCTGCAACGTAAGGTTTATGGCAAGGCCCCTGGATATGTCTCCTTATGTCACCGTGGAAGGCCACGGCCTCAGTACGGCCCCTCGCCTCTTGCCTCCAGGTGTAAAGATGGAGGTTATTCCTTACAGAGGTGGTATGAAGCAAATGCCACTTTGTAGTGGTTGCAGCTTTAAGTGTCTATTGATAGGGTGACCCATCGGTGGTAACGCATAGAACCGTCGCACCAGGTGCAACAGTGCCTGGCAGCTTAGTGCGGCCCCTGGATTCTGGCCTGAAATTTTTTGTGCAGGACGGCAAGCAACTTCAAAATTCGGGTCCCTTACGCTGCTATTACATCCCGTACCGAAGTCCTGGAAGTCCTTTCTGGTTTTCGTCCCTTATCTCCTTCTGGCATGCTGCGAGGCAGAGCGTCTCGTTCCATGCTGCAATTTAAGCTTTAAGGCACAGACCCCTGGATCTGTTCCTTATGTCACCCTGCTAGGCAAAGCTTCCCACAAGGCCATGCTGCAGCATGCGCAACAAGGCAGGACAGCAGCATGGTGGCCAGCCACTAATCAAGCCTGCTAACCCCCATCATCAAGCAATGACAGGGTCTGCAGGTCTCATTGCATCATGAGGCTATGCATGCACATGCAGGACGCCAAGGCGGTGAAGGTGCAGCGCTTCTGGCGGCCGGAGGACATCAGCCGCGAGTCCGGCTACAAGGCCGGCTTCTGGGACGTCTACGCCAGCGCTGAGACCGAGGCGGTGGACTTTGATGACATCATCGGCCCCTGCTCCGTCCTTCCTGCTGGCTCCACTGGAGGTGTGTGACCTGGCGCAAGCCTCTTTCTGTAATGCCAATTGACAGCCTCAGCACCCTCTCTGATTCTTTGGCTGCGCCGGCTCCGACATGGCTGAACATTCTATGTTGCGCACGTCCTTGGCGCCTGCCTGAACATGCATGCAAGCAAAGCTCAGCGGCTGTCAGTACAGCTCACTCTCACACCTGTCGCTGCTCAGCAAAGTTGCCATCAAGAGGTGAGCACAGACCTTTCTCTATCGAGTGGACCTTTCAAGACTGCATGTGCTTATGTGCAGGGAACAATGCCTTCGTGTGCGTGGGCACCTTCACCCGTAAGGATAAGAAGGTCAGCGAGCCGCCCGCCGAGTACGCCCCGCTCGGCTCTGCGTCCTCAGCCGCTGACGGCGGCAAGGGCAAGGGCAAGGCGGCTGCGCCGGCTGACGACTCCGGCAAGGGCAAGACTGGCAGCCTCCCAGCTGCCGCCCCGCCCAGGTACTGCCGATTCTCGCAGTGTCTGCCTTCAGGTCTTGACTGTACATGGCAGCAGTCTTCTCCCTTCCCTGGCACCTCTGCCGGAATGCTCAGGCACCTGACCTCTTCTGACACTTGGAGGGGGTGGCTATGGCTTCCTCTCCTTGTCGTTGAGGATCCTCCGCATGCATCTGTGCTTGACATCTCTGGCATGGTAACCTGACTATACTCTTGAACGCGCGCGCAGCGACGCCGCTGTGGCGGAGGACGACGGCCTGACGCTGGCCACGATGGACATCTTCGCGGGCTGCGGCGGGCTCAGCGAGGGGCTGCACCGGGCAGGCGCAGCGCGCACCAAGTGGGCCATCGAGTACGAGCAGCCGGCGGCCGAGGCCTTCAAGGTCAACAACCCGGACGCGGTCACCTGGTGCTGCAACTGCAACGTGCTGCTCACCGCCGCCATGACCAAGGCCGGCGCCGCCGACTTCTGCGACGCCTCCGAGGAGGTGCGCATCTGCATGTTACCTGACTAATCATGTTTGCAGATTTCATAAGATGACACCACTTCTAAGTAAACCCAGCCACAGAACACTGCCCTGACATGAAGATTTCCCTGATACCAGCAGATTCTTGGCTATTTCTGAGGTGTTAGTTGTCGAGCCTGTGCATTGATTGCATGTATCTTGCTGATGACATTGCAAGACACACAGGTAGCAAGACAGAGAGCAAGATAAAAATGCAATCTTGCTGCAACTGCTTGGGTGGAAGTTGAAGTCAGGGATGCTGGCGCAGGCCAAGGAGCAGGCTGCCAAGCTGGACGCGGAGACGGTGGCGACCCTGCCGGCCCCGGGCGAGGTGGACTTCCTGTGCGGCGGCCCCCCCTGCCAGGGCTACTCGGGCATGAACCGCTTCAACAAGGGCACCTGGTCGCTGGTGCAGAACTCCATGGTGATGGCCTACCTGAGCTACGCCGACTTCTACCGGCCGCGCTACTTCCTGCTGGAGAACGTGCGCAACTTTGTCAGCCACAACAAGTCCCACGCCTTCCGCCTCACGCTCCGCTCCCTGCTCGACATGGGCTACCAGGCACGCCTCTTAATCAGCATCCCTCTTGCACTGGGCAGTCTGAAATGTTGACTGAGAGTCCCCCACTCCTGCTTGATCTGGTTGATCACAGGGCATGGCTGCATCAAGTCCCCAAGCTGAGTTTGGGAGTGTGAGCAGGTGCGCTTTGGGGTGCTGAACGCGGGCAACTTTGGAGTGAGCCAGTCGCGCAAGCGCACGTTCATCTGGGGCGTCGCGCCCGACAACGAGCTGCCGCAGTGGCCGGCGCCGCTGCACGTCTTCCACTCCCCGCAGCTCACCATCAAGCTGCCCGGTGGCGTGGAGGTGGGCAGCCGACCACCATTTCCACTCACACGCAACCTTCAGGCAAAATTGGGGGAGCGCATCATAATCATTTCCGAGGGCTCAACGCCGCACGAGTCTGACAATGCAGCTTAAAGATCTCCACTCGAGCAGGACTGCCTGTACAAGCATGTCGTCCACAGGGAGCGCTGAGAAATGACAGAATAAAGGCTAGAACAGATGCTCGACTCTACAATAAGTGCAGATGTGAACTGCATGCTGCAGCATTGTACACTGTGTGGAGACTCATCGATCCATAGGAGCCAAATAAAGGCTCAAAGCCCACCTCCTACAACTCTTGGCCTGGGTTCGCCATAGATTGCTGGTAACACATCCTCGAGACAAGCTAGTCTGACTATCTCCTGTGATGCTGCTGGCGTGTGTAGCAGTTATTGAGACCTGTTGTCATGTGCTGCTGCAGTACACGGCGGTGCCGAAGGGCTCGGGCGCGCCGCTGCGCACAGTGACGGTGAAGGACGCCATCGGAGACCTGCCCCCTCTCACCAACGGCGCCAATTTGGAGGACATGCAGTACGCAGGTGCGCCCCAAACACCCCCAATTTCACACCAATCACTGCTGCATGTGTGGTAGACTGCATGGCAGCTTTACAAAAGGAACGGGGGGTTAGCCATGCTCAAGCCGTTTGGCACTCGGCAGGGCTGCGTGAACAGTGAATGTAATCGGTCGTTCTAATTTCCGATCTACTTAGTGGAAGAGGTTCTCATGAAGGAATTCAGCCACAATACACAAACTCATGAGTTCGTGAGGCGTTGAATTTGAATGGTCCTCTCAGCTGCTAAGGGACACGTGTCCACGTGCCACTCAAGTGCTGTAACCGTTCTTCCCAGGATGCATCAGCTGTCTGCTTTTGCTGCTCTCAACAGCTCTGTGCAATGCATGCAGGCCCGCCGATCAGTGCGTTCCAGAAGGCGATCCGCGGCGGCTGCACAGTGCTGCACGACCACATCTGCAAGGAGATGAACGAGCTCAACCTGGAGCGCTGCCGCTGCATCCCCAAGAACACCCCCGGCGCCGACTGGCGCGTGCTGCAGGAAATCGTGGCCGCCAACCCCGACCGCACCCTGTTCAAGGTGCGCGCGACTCCCCCACGGTTCCATGACTTTGAATTTTTTTACCTTCCTGGGGTGGAGGAGATCATCTGCAGCGTGTAGCACTTACTCTGGATCCAGGTGGGTATGCATGTACTCTGAGTCCTGCGGGAGTGCAAGGAAGCAGCACTGGCCTGTTTAAGATGGATATGCAGTGAAGAGTCTAGCGGCAGTGCAGGAGAGCAGCACTTGACCTTATCTCAGCTGAACACATATTGAAGAGTCTTCAGAAACTGTAACGAAGCAAGGGTTCGACTGAGCCAAGGGTTTCTGTGTGCGAACGCAGGGGCAGCCGCTGGTGCCCTGGTGCCTGCCCAACACGGCGGACCGGCACAACGGCTGGCGCGGTCTGTTTGGGCGCCTGGACTATGGGGGCCACTTCCCCACCTCCGTCACTGACCCCCAGCCCATGGGCAAGGTGACCCGCCCACACCACATGCTCTGTTTTACTTCAGCCCATCCTCGTATCACTGAAGCTCGCTGTGCCTTGATGTGGGCAGTTCTTCTTGTTGCAGCTGACATCAGCCCAACTATGTACTGTATGTTGTGAGGGTGCTCATGTCATGCAAAGCGATAAGGAATTACCAAAATGCCATTACATGTGGCTGCATGCTATGCATGGTGCTGCCAGATTCAGTACTGTACTGCAGACAGGAGTCCTAGACTTTGAGAATGACTTTGTTTGGCTGCAGGTGGGCCAGGTGTTTCACCCAGATCAGGACCGCATCGTCAGCGTGCGCGAGTGCGCGCGAGCCCAGGTGCGGCCTTGATGCAGACCTTGTGTTCTTTCTTGATGGCTCGAGACCTTTGCATTGCATGGCTGGCATCGTGCAACGGCACGCAATCTCATGTTGCTGCAGTCGCAGACTGCCAGGACACCCTCATGAACACGGCAGATGTTGTGATCTTGCAGGAGAGGCTCCAGCTTGATTGCTGGATTGGTCTAACGAGAGGACTTTGATTTGAAGCATGGCCTACTTGCATGCGCAGGGCTTCCCGGACAGCTTCCGCTTCTACGGCAATGTGCACAACAAGCACCGTCAGATCGGCAACGCCGTGCCGGTGCCGCTGGCGTACGCGTTGGGCCGCCAGCTGCGCTCGGCCCTGGAGGAGAGTGCGCGCAAGCAGGCGGAGGCTCTCATGGCCGCTCAGCTGGGCTAGGTACAGGGAGTGCTCGGCTGTGCAAACAGGCCGTGAGGACAGGGCTCGGGAGAATTGCAAGTGGCATTTCATGGGTGCATGTGATAGCGGTGTCGCGGATAATCATGTTCATAGCAACTGTCTGTGCGCGCCTATGGCGATATGCGCAGGAACTCCAATAACTGCCAAAGAGCTAAAGGTAGTGTTAGTGTGGGATTTTGTCATTTCATGGTACTGGCCAATTTACCTAAAGACTGTCAATTGTGGTATGAATATGCAACAAAGCCTGCCTGAGTTGCTCGATCAAAGCTCGACAAATGTGTTTAAGACCTGATCTGTGAAGTGACTTGAGCATAAGGTAAAGGGCAATTATCTCAGAAGTCTGGGTCAAAACAGCATGGCTCGAGCATTTGCCGAGTTGGCAACGCAGCCTATCAGTCGCATTGTGATGTCAACAACAGTTGAATAATGTCGCTGTGCAACCTTGCACCTGCTTCACACCCCTCATGAGTGATCACGCACCCTTTCAAACCCTACACGCCTGTGTCAGCAGCCCGAACTGCAAAGATCCTCACTGCATCCACGGCTCAAGGAGCTTCTGAGCAGCCTATCATTTTGCTGTTGATATCTGTACACACGTGGGGGCCGGGGCACGGCCGGGGCTGATGTGAGCTGGTTTCTGAGTAGCACGTTTTAGGCAAGAAGTGGTGCGATGCACCTGCAAAAAGTCTTCCTCAGCGATGAGCTGCTGAAGCACCTTCCTTCTTGGTGGGAGGACATTGATGACGATCCCAAGTGGCAGGAGTACTCCTTTGTAGTGCTGTCAGCTGCCTATGGCCTTCTCACCCTCGTCGCCCTAGTGCAGCTGGTCCGCATCCAGCGACGAGTCCCCGAGTATGGCTGGACGACACAGAAAGTGTTTCATCTGTTAAACGCGTTCGTGTGCCTGCTGCGGTGCGTGGTGTTCGCGCTGCGGGACAAGGTGGGTGGCCAAATTCATAGACTTGCTGAAACTTGAGTAAAAACCGGTGCCGCATTCTTGTAGATTTTTGAGTGAGAGGAGGAGCTGGTGTTTATTTTGCATCGTTTTGGTGATCTGAGGTGAGCAGCACGTTAGAACAGGATGCAAAAGGATCCTGGGATTTCTTGGTGATCTTTTACTGCACAACAGACCTCGTCCCTGTTGACCTTGAGGTTCCTTGATCATTCTGTCCTGTAATCGATCGATTTCTATCTGGACGTGCAGGTGCAGCAGATCGAGCCTGATTCATTGCAGTATGTCCTGCTGGATCTTCCAGGACTCTTGTTCTTCACCACATACACACTGCTCGTGCTCTTCTGGGCAGAGATCTACCACCAGGTGCGGAACCCTCAAAAGATGTTGTTCACCATTGCAGTTCCACCTCGCATTAATGTGCTTCATTTTCCACTCCAGCATTCCACAGTGCCTCGATCACAGTGCTTGGGCTGGTTTATGTCAAACAGCTCATCATTTGGCTGATTAAACGCGAAGCGAGCTCTTTCACTTTGCACCATTGGAGATGCCAAATTGCAAGATTACTGCTGGCTGTAAGAGCTGTTTTGGCTGTGCAGGCGCGGAGCCTGCCGACTGCGTCGCTGCGGCCGCTGTTCCTGGCCTTCAACGCGGTCGTGTACGCGGTGCAGATTGCGCTGTGGGTGCTGACGGGGCTCGCGACGAGCTCCTCCACCCACAACCTGCTGCGCGTGGCTTCCTGCGGCTTCCTGGCCGTCGTGTCCATTTGCGCGGCCGTCGGATTCCTCGTCTATGGCGGCCGCCTCTTCCTCATGCTGCGCAGGTGCGCTCTAAATTACATCAGGGATTTACATGGCGTTTGCAACAGAATTTGTCTTGGGGTGTATGCCAGCGATTCTCATTGGCTAGTACCAAATGATTGTTTGTGCTGGGACGCTTGTCGCTGCAAGCTCTCCAGCTGATGGTCATTTGTGTTCTCAAATGCATGCTTTACCTATGCTCGAGATGGCCAGAGGGCCTGCAAATGCTCTCGACATAGCAGACTTTCCATTTTAGATGTATCGTTGGTCCATTAGACTAAGAATTCTAAAGCTCTTGTTTGCTCAATCCAGCCCTGAATTTATTGGGCCATGTCCCAGGTTCCCGATTGAGTCGCGCGGCCGGCGCAAGAAGCTGCGCGAGGTGGGCTGCGTGACCGCAATCTGCGCCGCATGCTTCACGCTGCGCGCGGTCATCGTGGCCTGGAGCGCGTTTGACGCAGAGGACGCTGATCTGGATGTGTTGGACCACCCGCTGCTCAACGTGGTCTACTACACCGCCTGCGAGCTGGTGCCCTCCGCCCTGGTCCTGTACATCCTGCGCAAGCTGCCGCCGCGCCGCTCACAGCAGGGCTACCAGCAGATCCCTGTGCGCTGAGTGAGGAAGTGCAGCATGTGGAGCGTGGATCGCTTGCAGCTGATGACTAGATTGTGGGGCACAACCAATCCAATGCTTGATCGTGCCCAGCAATGGAGCATGAATCTTTGAGCAGCAGCGTGTGAACTACGTGGAGGTTTGGGGAATATATTTTCATGCAGATGATCCTGGACTCATGAGTGCTGCGGGATGACTGCATTTGTACACATATGTCCTTCCAAGGTAGTATCTGGGAGTCAAGACTTGCAAACAGACTAGGTTGCCTGCTGGCCACGAAAGAATGAATGTCTTTATCCGCGGATTGCTTTGATTTATGCATTTTTGCTTCAGCATAATTGCCGGAATGTCAGCTTGTATCGGTGCACACGGTCGGACATTCAAGCAACCTAGCATACAGTAGAACAGATGTGGTGGTAGGAGGAAGATCAAGTAAACGGTTCTCTTAGTGTGTTCGGATTCATGTAATGCCCAACAGGCATGCATGAAATACACGGAGTGCAGCCCATTCAATGGAAGTTCCACCTGCTGAGCAGCCATGATCTCTGGAAACTTTACATCTATGCTGTAAATGAGAGGCTACCGTGCAAGAAATGAATCTGACAACCAGACACTGACCGTGCAAATTACACCAGATCCATACTACCTGGGAGTCTTCACAGCCATCTCGCACATTAATGCGCACCAATCACGATGATACAACTTGAATGTACAGTTCTGAGGGACCCCTGAGCACCATGCTAGAGTGGCTGATCCCAGAAGCTCTCAGTGCAACAATCACTGATCTATCTACCAAACCCCCAGGCATGGTGCAGGAAGTATGTGCCAGTCAGTCTGCCCGTTATGCAGTGTCTCACCGCAGCTCTCCTTCAGAAATACTAGCCGAGAGTGCAACGCAGCGCCTAGCAGCAGCCCTTTGACTGCTTGGCAGAAGCAGTGGTGCTGCTCAGGTGGACGTTGCCTGATCCGGATCCGGCAGAGGGGCTGTCAGTCTGCGAGTCCCTCAATCTAAGCATGACATCCTTGGCGATGGACTGGAACACCTGCATGCACACACCGTCCAGCGGACGTGAGAGGGTTCCTTTCTCCTGACAAGCGGAAGAACCTGAAGTACTTTTGGCACAGCTTCAGGAATTGGCGGTAAGGTATTTGGCGTACCTCGTCCACCTTGATGTTGCTCTTTGCGCTGGTCTCAAAGAACTGGATGCCGAACTCGTCTGCGAGTGCCTGCCCCTGCGAGTACGGTACTCGCCTCTTGCTCTCGTCCATGTCACATTTGTTCCCAACGAGCACCTGTGCACCATTGAACCGCCACCTATTGAGCTGTCCTAACTTGTTTGCAGACTCAGCCATGGACCCTGAGTGCCAGAAATGCAGCCCTTCAGCATGGAAATGGATGTCCACTCTTGCTTAGAGCATTGTCAGGCTATTGTGATCACCTTGTTGACGTTATCAGAGGCATGCTGCTCGATGTTCCGCATCCAATTCCTTATGTTGTTGAATGATGACTCATCGGTCACATCGTATACCAGGAGGATGCCCATGGCTCCTCTGTAGTATGCTGTACATCACCAATAAGACAGGCATCACTTACTTTGCACTGCGGTTGGACCGGACCAGCTAACCAGCTGAGCTTGAGCTTTGACAGGCTTTCTCCCAGTATGACCCCTAATGTCAGTTAATGGCTGGCATCCTTACCGCTGGTGATTGTCCTGAAGCGCTCCTGCCCAGCTGTGTCCCATATTTGAAGCTTGATCCACTTGTTGTCAATGAGGATTTTCTTGATTTTGAAGTCAATCCTACAGGCACCAAACCAGTCAGCCCGAGCGACCGTAATGTCACTCATCTCCAAGTCTCAACGCTATAGTACGCTGGGTTATCGCAAGAACGCATCCGAGGACCTAAGGGGAATAGCATAGACAGACCCAATTGTGGTGATGAAGGAAGACGTGAAAGAGTCCTCGGAGAACCGCAGCAACAAGCAGCTCTTGCCAACACCTGCATCGATTGAAAGCTGCGGTAAGAGTTGGGTCATGAGCTGCAGGTACCACACCCAAACAGTAGCCAAAACTTCCCAGGCACCCAAAACCCACCGCTGTCTCCAATGAGCAGGAGCTTGATCAGATAATCGTAGTCCTGCCGACGTAGAGACATGGTGTTGAGTTCTGGCTCCTCACTGCTGCCCCATGTCTTGCCTCTTCGGTAGGTCTTTCCTCTCCAGCTTCATCTTGGCGACAAGGGCGTTCTTCTTGACCATCGCCGTCGTGGACCGTGGACCGTGTAGCTCTTCATCGGATTTCAGCAGCTGCAACAACATTCACGGCGATCAAGGGACAGTGCCCAACCCAAGCAGCTGCGCACTACTTGTGTGGTTTTATGTCGGTGAGGATTGATGAATAGGGTCGGTTTGCCTGTCGGGCTGGTGTTTGGGCTTCCGTAAGTTTACTATTTGCCATGGGGGGCTGTATGAGCTCGCCAGGCGACGGCAAACCAGATGGCACGCCAGGAAAAGTTGCTGGACATGCCGCAGCAAGGGGCCCGTCGCCCAGTGATGCATTCAATTATTCCTCGTCAGATCATCCACCACAACACGTTGTGAGTATGCCCATATTAGAGCACCAACAGAGGATGTTCCCAAGACAGAACCTTTAAGACCTTGCCAGTGTCGTAGATAGATATAAATGAGCTGTTGCACCAAAAATGCAGAAATATCTCGGGATGTTGTGCAAAACCTGGATGCACATACTTTGCAGGAACTGCCTGCAAGGAAGTCTCTATCTCAAGCACTTGCGTGTCCGTTGCACGCAGGTGAAGATTGCACTATCTTGCAAAAAGCTGGCAGTGGCTGAGACCACTGGCTATCAGCCCCCAGACCCATATGCTATCCTCTTTGCTGCGGATAGCAGAGGGAATTGGGAGGAAGTCTCACGCACTGAGACTCTGCAGAATAGTAGAGGTGCGACCTTGCTGCAGTATGGTGTCTAGTATCTGGGCCCAGAACATAAATTGCAAGTTCTATGCATCCCACCTGGAATGCCCTTTCTAGATGCCCTTTTAAGTGACTTGTTTGTATGCTTGCAGATCCAGACTTCGACGTTGCACTGGCGTGCACCTTTGTCTTTGAGAGGCCGCAGCGGCTGAAGGCAGTGGTACTGTCCAGGAGTAAGAAGAATGGGGGCGATTTGAGCCTGGGTTTGTCTCGGTGCCAAACTCAGCTACTGCTGGTCCACGCATCAGCTTGATTTTGAGGAGGATTGAGAGCAAATAACCTGGAGACTGACTTGTGGGGTTGTTGCAGGCGAGGCAGAGTTCACTCTGAGGGAGCTCGTGACAGCACGAGGAAACCGTCTGCAGCTCCCGCTGCAGGATGGGGCCTTGGACGCCTCATGCACGCTCATAGTGCTGGATTCCTCCGACCTGAACTCAGACGTATGTGCCGCCTCTTTCTGCTATGACCTGCCAATACATTATGAGCAGTGACACGCAACAGGCGTTCACTGCGGGTTGGGTGATGCTTCACCACGACTGAGGATACCAGAGAGTGTGGAAGCTTGGAACAGGGAAGTGTGGATCCCTAGCTTAAAGTGGACTCTATTGAGAGCAAGCTCGCGTTGAAGTCTCACTGACAGTGGGGGCTTGTGCTGCAGTTTGTGGCGCGGCTGGAAGTACAGGAAGTGCCGCTGAGCAGCCCTGGCAGCTCCCAGGTCTTCCTGCGCGCGGTCAGGGAAGGCCGCGGCGGTGCCGAAAAGCCCGTCATGCAGACCAAGGTGCGCCATGTCCCCGCATCTGCATTTTCCGCTCTCCATACCTCCAATGTCGGTAGCTGCAGAGGGGGTGTGGTGCTCTGTCAAGATGAAGTGATCAGGCACTCTGCCGAAAGGGCTGCTTGCAGATGTGGGGGTACAGCAGAACGCTATATTGTGTGCAAGCTAAATGTTTGGAAAGATAAAAAAGGGAAATTTGCTTGGCACGAATCAGCCTCAGGGCACGCATGCAGTGCATGCTTCAAGTACAACTCCATCCTGCCGGGAGCAGTAAATTCTTGCAAAGTCATTCATCCTTTTCATAGAATCACCGTATTGTATGAGCATTGTGTTGCTAACCAGGCGCTGGCGTCCGGGGGCCGGCTGGCGTGGGCGGTGGAGGCGGGAGTGCGCGAGCTGTGCGACGGGGATTTTGGCGCGCCGCTGAAGCTCGAGGTGTGGGAGGCCGTCAGCGGCCGCTGCAGCCTGGTGGGCGCCGCGCGCACCGACCTGCGCTCGCTCGCCAGCGCTGACAGCGCGCACCTGCAGCTGTCCGCCCAGGGCAAGGTGCGAGCCGCTGCGCTGCTTCAATATAGGCCGTTGCTGATTGGGAAAGCAAAGCAATCGGGATCATAAACGGGATGCTTCTGGAGAGGCTTCATGCCCGCAACTAATCATTGTTGACTGCCTTTTCGACACTTCTTGGTTTGGACAAGAGTTGCAACCCGGATTCTCCGAACACGACAGTAGAAATAGCAGAGGGGCTCTTGTGAATTTAAAACGATGAGAACTGCAAATGGCTGCTGGTCGGCTCTATCAAAACAGAGGGGCAGGGGCAGCATGAGATGGCAGAGGGTGTTGCATTGCTGCCATGCATCCCCGTTCTAGGAGAGCCATAGGTTCCGGTCCCTCCAGCTTCCATCTGTCTTCCGAGTATCGGTGTAGATCGGTCACTACTGTAATTACAGCGGTCTGAGACCTCAATCAGCGCATCTGAGGGTGTTCGTGGGGCATTTTATGTGATAGGAGGCGGGTGAGATCGCCCTCGGGGCCGCGTCGGTGCGGCGGCGGCTGAGCTTCCTGGACTACATGGCGGGCGGCTGCGAGATCCAGTGCATGGTCGCCATCGATTTCAGCGGCGGCAACCCGCCCACCAACGACCCCGCCTCCTGCCACTTTGCAGGCAAGCGCACCTCTCCACCCTCGCTCTGGGCTCATGCAAACATTGCGCCAGTCCCTGTTGAGTCAGAGGCTGCATGTACCATTCCCTGACATGCAGACCTTCTCAAGTTGCGTTCTATTTAAGAGATGGAATTTGTAGAGCTTCTTGAGGTGTAAAATAGTCTCAGTTCCTTGGAGAGATAATGCTCTCTGTCCCTATGGTCCTCTGATTACCACGGGGGCTTTTGGGTTTCAACTATAAAACTTTAAAAATAAATGTGTTGAAATGCAGGTCCCGACGGACAGAGCGCCAGCGTGTACGAGCGCGCAATGGCTGCCTTTGGGGCGATCATGCAATTCTACGACCCACTGCGCTCCTTCCCCCTCTGGGGCTTCGGCGGCCAGGTGGGTTAATCCCCTTGGCCACTCACATTAGCCTCCCTGCAGCAGCAAAAAAGGAACTTTGAAGAATATGCTGGCGCCAACAACGGAGAACCCAGCAATCTTTGAAGGATTTAAAAGTTGACAGGAGGAGTAAAAGCGAAAGGTGGCAAACAAGGGTCTGCTGAGTGTGTCCCAGGACTTGTTTTGGGTTACGTCCTACAAGTTCAGTTGAGCAAGGGTAGTTATTTCCATCTTCGGTGCACAGGGCAAGCAGACCTGCTACGCGCTGAATGGGCAGGCCTTCCAGCCGGAGGTGAAGGGCCTGCGCGGCCTGCTGCGAACCTACAGGTGCCTACAATACATGCCTGCACAATACCTCATGGCAGCCTCTTTCTCACACACAATACTTCCACCCAGACAACCCACCGGACCACCACCAGCAAAATGAATCCTCGCCGAAAATGCGCAATTGTGTGCTGGCTGTTTGTTGTAACTGGGAAGATATTATTACGGCGTCCTCCAGAATGGTTGTCTGAAAGCTGTTCCCTTGGCGGTGGTGCAGGAAGGCGCTTCACCGCGCGACGTTCACGGGGCCGGCGCTGTTTGCTCCGGTGGTGACCGCAGCAAGGGACCTGGTGGAGCAGCTCTCGCTGGTGCGCTAACATGCACATCTCACCTCAGCGATGGCTGCTTCATTACTTGCTCCATTCTGAAGAAAAAGCTGACAAGCTCCAGTGCTGCTCTTGTATTCAAGTGACTTGTCAGCCTCGGGAAGTCTTTTCAAGTACTGGGTTTCTGCTACCAGGGGGTGCATTGCCGAGACTGTGCAGATCAGATAATATATAGCGTGATTGTGTATGGATATACCTACATCCTGGGAAGTGGAAGGTGGAATCCTAGCAGCGAATATGATGTGGCTGTGGGTGCGTGTGGTGCAGGTGCAGCACCGCTATTTTTTGCTGGTCATCCTGACGACCAGCGTGGGTGACGACCTGGAGGAGTTCAAGGCTTCGCTGATGCATGCTGCTGGCGAGCTTGCGCTCTCTGTTGTGGTGGTCGGCATTGGATCGGCGGACTTTGGCCCTCTGGAGGTGCGCCCACCTCTTTTGCTGCTTTGCATGCGCCCTGCACATGCATGCAGTCACTTGTATGGTCTTTTGCATGGGACGACTGCCACCATATGAAATGGTTGCTCTCTTGAGTACCACAGCCACACTGAGGCTGCTCAGCCGCTCATGAGAGCGCTGCATGCGTACTAGCAGGATCTTTCGACCCCCGATTGCATTTGATGAGCACAGGGTGCAATTTTAGCTGGGGCCAACAGCCTTTTTCCAGAACCTTGGTGGCGTCACTTCTACCTGGCCTGACCACTGGCCGACCCTCAGATATTGTTCATGTTCATTCAGGGATATAAAGTGAAGAATGTATGGTAGGCAATGAAAAATTTTAGGTTTGCGCGCGCAGGCGGCGGTGATGAGCAAGGGAGGGTCGGAGGCAACGCCGTCGCGCGGAGGCGGCAAGGCCCCCAACGGCCGCGCAATGGTCCGCACCAGCCTCGACACGCGCAACATGACGCAGTTCACCACGCTCTCGCCGGAGTCCGCCGCCGAATACGACGCCGTCGCGCAGCGTCTCTTGTCCCGGGTGCGCGCCTCGTCAGCGCTTTTCAACATTAGCGCAGTTTAAAATTCAAATGATCACTTATGTGCTCCTGCTCCTGGGCCGAGGAATCAGCGCATTCCAACAGGTCCAAATTGAAATGATCGCATGTTGCTGCTGCTACGGGCGGAGGGACCGTTGAGTAGCTGCTGCAGAATTGCTTGCGAGGCAGGCCTTCTTGTCAGCGCATCCGCTCAGATTGCCGTGATGTCTGCATGTGTAATTTTTTAGATGCTTACCTGGGATCATTAAAATAAAAGACAGTGGGGACACCGGAAGGCGTAGGTGCTGTGGGTCACCTTTCTGGTGAAGGTAAAATCAAGGCTGCAACAGCCACAGCCCGAATTTGGATCAAGGCTGTGCCCTGGGCCCATTGCGCAGGATTAGAGGAGTGCCGGTAGTCTGGGTTTGTGTCTTCAAAGGGACTGCTTGAGCCTCTTTTAGGCCAGACAAAGTGCCCCTGCGCCTAATTTAGATTCACCATGGCTTAACATGGATATTACCCTGGAGATGCGCATGGCTGAGAGATGTGTGCTGTGTGGTGTGCAGCTGCCGAGCCAGTTCATGGAGTACTTCCACAAGCGGGGGATCATCCCCAAGACCTTCAGCAGCGATCTGGTGCAGCAGACCAAGGCGCACATCGCGCGGGCACGCAGCAACGAGCAGTGAACAAAGCAGACAGACTCTGCCCGAGTGTGGCGAGGCAGGGACCTCAAAAATATAAGGCAGAGCCAGAGTGGCAAGGCAGAGGCTTTCTTTCTCAAATACTCTGGATATGGCTCTGATATATTCTTTTCACTTGATGGCTTTTCTACTGGTGAGGGCTGTTTCGGCAGTGGAGCAAACTTGGGGTTACCTCAGAGGCTTGCAGCAATAATGCCAATTATTCCCGCTTTCGCCTGTCGGGATGTTTGCAACAAAGCAAGTCTGTGCAGCAACGCTGCATACTTGAGACCCACCCAGTTCATATTATGGAGTGAGCGCAATATCGGCAGAGCAGGTTTGGGAGCCGCATCTATATTCTTGCCATGGATTTGCAGCATCCGTGTTGTTTTACTTGTTTACTTCCAAAGCTATGTGACGTATGACCCCAAGAAGTTGTCATCAGCCGGGCTGATTCAGTCTGGAACCTTGTGTTGGAACGATTAGAATTGCACAGCTGTCAGCAATCAGCCTCTGTGTCTTTAAACGTGCAGATCACTGAAGGGCATGGGAGTGAGTGGCAGTCGAATTCCACTGCACTAGATCATGAGGGTCTGATCTGTTTGTTGTGCGGTCGTGTTAGGACAATGCAACATCAATCATTGGTGAAGTACATATATTACAGCAGAATTTGGGGCCAGCGCTGGTCAATTGTGAGTTTGCAACAGTGTGTGTTTGGCGTGCAAGAGGCTGCGTTACATTGTCCGCATGCGCTTAGCGACGTATTGCAAATGTCTCATGAAATTTGATCTACCACCTTCCTGAATTTGGGTGCCATGCTACACCTCATGCATGCATTCGCCATGGATTGCATTGCCCATATGCATAACATGCCACCTCTCATTGAAACACCCTGGGGCATTCTCACATGGCATGCATCCGAGCACACACCTTCACCAAGTCCTTATATCAGATGCCCGGGTCTCTGACTTAGGCGACGCCTCAACCGGAAAGGCAATTGCAACTTTAGATAAAAACAAAGGCCCACACTCCTGGGAGATCTGGCACCAACTCAAATGTCAACGGCTTTCTCTCAAGATGGTTGCCAACTTTACCAGCGCAACATGAGCATGCCCACATATCCCAAAGAATTTTATCGACAATTGGGTCACATTGCAATCTTGCCACCGCTGAATTGGCAAGGGCAACAGCAGCCAGGCAAGGCTCACTTGTCTTCACATCAAACACCACAATGGTCCAGCAACCATTATGGTCACACATGGCATGTGTTCATTTCATATTTTATATGTGAGTCTCTTCGCCACAAGCGTGCCTCTCAATCTGCCTCTGTTGACATTGACATGAGCATTTGTAATTATTACTTTTTCAAGAGATCTGTACTATAAACAGCATGCGCTTCAAGCGCTTGGGAATCCTTCAAAATCACTGCGGCTATTAGAGCAGCAGAGCAAATGATTTCTTCAATCTGCAATCTGCATGCAGCTCCTCCAAACCCCGCGCCTCAGCACCAAACAATTGAGGGAGCTTCCATGAACAGGCAGCAGTGAGCATAGAATCTGTTCTTTGCAAGCAATATATTCAATGGGTCTTGGCAGCAGGCCTTTGTATCTCAATATTCTTTCCGTACTACCGGGCTCCCTGTTGATCATGATAAGCAAGCTCCTCATCTACAAGGAGGTCACGCTTGGTTCATTGCTCTCACTCAGGCCAACTAATCTAATGACTGATCTAGCTGCAGTCGATGACCCACAATTTGGCGCCCAAGCGCGCCAGCAGCCCCCTCAGCTTCTTGGCCACCCTTGCCCATCACGCTCCCACCCCTCAGAACCCGCTCTCCCTTCCTATCTGCACCAACCTCCACCTCCGCTGCTGCAGAGCTCACTGCAGGATCTCCAGCAGTCACAGTGGGCCTCACAGGGGAGCCGTCACTGGATTCGAAGATCTGGGCCGCGGAACTTCCCACTTCCTCAGCTTCCTGCTGCTCTTCCTCATCAGACTCCTCAATGGTATAGAGCTCCCAGCACACCTCAGTGCTGTCTGAGTCCTCAACCGCCAATGGACAGGGCAGCTGCGCGGCAGCTGCCTCGCAGCTGAACGCGGCCGGGTCGGACACAATCTCGCGCTCCACCACCGCCAGCTCAGCGCTGTCGCGCGCGCTCTCCGCCAGCTCAGCGTGACGCGCTGCGCATGCTGTGCACGCTGCGGCCGTCGCTGCCAGGCTGGCGTCGTCCCTTGGGCCCGCCAGGAAGACTCTCAGGAGGCCCATGACCTGCTCAAGGTAGCAACAGAGCCATCACACACATGTGACGTTCCGTGAAATGTGCATGCAAGAAGTGGGGCATGCAGCACACTTCCCTGCACTTTGCAGACACTCGCATGCAAGAAGCAGAAAATTTCAAGACAGGACAAAAGCCAAGATGTTGCAGTGCAGTGGGCAAGAGCAGAAATGGTGGACTTGAATAGTCTCTCACCTTCTGTGTGGCAGATGCCAGGTGCAAGCCCTGCAGCAGATCGCTGCACTGGCGCCAGCAGTGGCTGTCCGAGACGCATGGGTAATCCACCAAGGCTTTGGCTGCATCCAGTTCCTGCATGCCATTGAGTCTCCTTGTCAGATCGTTGTCTCGGGCCTTTCAAACAAGACAGCAAATGTGCATGGTTCTGAGCAGTCTGCCATCTGTTGCAGCCTAAGCAAATGTTGCCAAGATGATTTCTCCCTCACTGCTGACTCAGACTTGAATCTTCCTGCTACAAGTGTGGCAGACATCACAGCTATCGAACAAGCCGAGCTACCAAAGAAGCCATGCATTTGCAGACCAGGGTTAAAAGAGGGCAGGGTGCGCACAGCTGCTTGAATATTGCCGGCGCTGATGTGCAGCATGGCCCTCCCCAGCAGCAGGTCTGGGCTTCTGGGACTTGCAACCGAGGGCTGCTTCAAGGCATCCGAGCCATGGAAGGAGCTTCCATCGCGCGGCGATACCTCTACTGCCTTCCTTGAATTGCTCTCTGGCTCCTGCATCCAGCAAGACAAGCATTCAGCTCAATGCTGATGGGTGACACAGTGACCTCTGCTAACTTGCTATGCGACAGAACTGCAGCTAAGAGGCAAGGAATGCCTAGCATAAAAGTCAGGAAGCTTCCCACTGCCACACAAAAGCATCAAGAGAACAATGCAGCCACAAGTTGATGCACAAGGACAGCCATGCCAGCAATTTGCATCTTAGTCTGTGAATAATTCCACCTCTGGGAATCCTGACCTGTGTGCAGGTGCATGCTGTCGGGGTCTCATCCGCGCCGATGTGACTGGCCGCCGCTTCGGATTGAGGCGGCAGCTCGCTTTGAATATTCGAGTTGACGGGCTTCTCCGTTTCTCCGAGGGTCACGAAGGAGCAGGGCTGATAACATGCGACCTCTGGCAGCGTCCCAAACTGGAAGTGGCCCTGAGGTGCGGTTTCAGGGACTTCCGCCAGCACCTTCTGCGCATCGGCGGCGGCCGGTGGCGCCTCAGCGGGAGGCGGCTGCTCGGGAGCTGGGAGAACAGAGGGAACACCGCTTGATGCGTGCCCTGCTGCACTGGGCTCTGTGGCGGGTGCATCCACCTTCACCAGAGAGTCCCACATGAACTGGATCTGTGGCGTTGGCCGATCGAGCGGCGGAAGCGCGCCCGGCTGCATGCAGACGCTTGCTGCGGCGGTGGCAGGCATCGGCGGCTGCTGCTCTGCAGTGCTGCGAGGAGAGACGGTCCAATGGTCAGCTGACGGGTGCTGCTGAGGCAGTTGTGCAATTGAGCTGCATACGGACAGAGTGCTGCCAAAGGCTGGCGTCGCCGCACATGATCTCTGCGCAACGGCGCCGGCCGATGGCGCGCCGCTGGGGAGCGGCTGCTCAGAAGCTGGCATGGCAAAGAGAACACCGCCGGAGACACGTCCTGCAGTACTGGGCCGTGTGGTGCGTGCTGCTGCAAGGGCAGCGGCCGGCAGCCGCCACATTGCCTTTTGGCTGACTTGGATCCTCCGGTGGCCAGCAGAGCTGCCCATCTGAGGCGGCTGTGCGGCAGAGCCGCATGTGGGTGGAAGGCTGACAAACAGCAACGGCTCCTTCTGGCTCTGGAACTGTGGCTGCCGCGAGCGTGAAGGAGGCCTCGTCCCAGGCTGCACGGCAGTGCCAGCTGTGCTGCGGTGTGATGGCGGCTGCTGAGCTGACAGCTGCTGAGCTGGCGGCTGCTGAGCTGGCAGCTTGAGGGCAGAGCTGGTGAAAGGGCCAGCTGCCGCAGCATTGGTCGCTCTGGGTGAGCCGCAGGGGGAATTTGCAGGGGTTGAATCAGCACTTGGGATCTGGCACAGGGAGCTCCGTGGGCTGTCTGGCTCTCCATTTCCAGCGGCCCTGCATCACAACAGGCATTGTCTGTCAGTCAGTCAACTGCTGATCCCGTGATTTCAAGGTGGCCCGCTCTTTCAGGGTGGCATACTACTGCCGTGCTCATTCTGAACCCCTCACTGAATAAGCAATTTTGAGCCTGCTTCAATAAAAGCTTCCCAGCCTGCAGGAGACTGCATTAGTTGAAGGATGGGGGTGGGGAGGGGTGGGACAAGATCATAAGATGACTGTGTCCCACCCCAAAAAGTCGCTATTCAGTAGCAAGATTGGCCAGATTTGGGGTTATGGGATCACAAAATGATAGCTACTTAATTCTTTGACAGACTTAAGTGCGCATCATGGACTAGGATCCAACACATGTAAGAGAGCCGCGCCTGCAGTGATTCTCTGCAGAGAGAGCCTTTGCAGCGGCAGCAGCGAGGGAGGCTGCAGCCGCGTCAAGCTCCAGACTTCTGAGCCGCCGCAGCTTCTCCGCGGACACCTCTCGTGCATGCTGCGCCAGCTGTGCGGCCTGCGCTGTGCGCGCTTCGCTCGCAGCGGCCGCGGCGGTTGCGCGCGCCTCGTGTCCCTTCTGGTGTTCTTGGACCAACAGCTGCCACTGGAACTCCAGGTTCTTGAGATCCTGGAGAGAAGAACACAATGGCCGCTCAGCCCTGAACAGCTCCTAATTTCCCACGAGCACAAACCCACTGCTAGACTGCACTGGACAGCAACTACTCAAGGAACATTGCAGAAAGCGTCTATTTGCTTGCATGGCACAGTGGGCTGCTGCACACCTTGGGGGCCCTGCAGAGCCTGTCCTTCAGTAAAGGGTCCTTCTTCACGCTCAATATGCATTCGCGCATGTCGGCAATTGCTCCGCGGGTGTTGCTCAGGCAGCTACGTGTCTTCGCTCGCCTGTAGTAGGCCTCGGCGCAGCTGGGGTCCAGGGCAACTGCAATGGCTCCGTCCTCCTCCTGCAATTGTCACAACATCCAGAAGAGTTGTCAGGGACGACATCAGCTTGTCAGCAGCGCTCTACTCTGCACTATTTTTCTGGCTAACAGCAAGATGGAAGTGTCACTCACCGCAAGTTCAAGCCGCTCCTGGTCGTCAGTTGTCATCAGAAACATCGCTCGAACGAGGAAGAGCTCGGGGCTGTCGGGCCACAGCGTGATGGCGTCAGTGATGAGGTTGAAGGCCATGTCACCGTCGCCCTTCCGCCATAGCCAGAATGGCTCGCCGCCTCAAACCATTGATGTCCTGCGCACAAAATTGGTTCAGGAAAATGGTTCGATGATGACGTTCATTCGGACTCCAATCCAAACACAAAAGCTGCTTTCGCACAGGAAATTTCGACCAAAGTCCAATTTACCATAGAGGTTGTTGGTCTCCCAAAGCACGCAAAATCTGCAGGATTTGCTAAAAACCAGTAAGAATGCATCATGTTACAACATATGCAATTTTGTGTCGTTAGTATTGCTCACCAGTTCGGTGTGAGCCAGGAGGTCCACGCAGGGCTCATGCTTCTTCTGGCGCCACATGAGTGAGCCCCAGAGTGCTTCGCGGCCGAAATGTGTGAATTCGGCGTCCTTGTAGATGGACGGTGCCACGAATCTCAGTGTCTCAATCATATCGATCCTTGTTGTGTATGGCGAGATCAAAGAGTCGCTGCACCTATATGGGGAGCGGATAGCGTGATCGCTGCGAGACACGATGCGATGAGCTAAAGAAACAATTGCCTGGATGCAGTAGGAAACAATTCTTTTTTGGAAGGACTGGCTGGTCTGTCTTTGGTGTCAGTCGCAGGCAAATCTCGATGATCCTTCACCCCTGCTGGTTAGTATAAAATTACTCACTCCTCTTGCCAACTTTTGCATGCAAACAACTCGAAAATATATTCAGTCTTTCCTTCAGATTGCAAAGCATGACGGGCCAGCTTCTTGCAGAAGTCATAATGCAATTTGACACATTTTACAGTAAAAATCTCACAGTGAGCTTGTCTACTCAATAGTACCACTTCCCAGGCTTGCAGAACGTTGCAGCTACGTAGCAGGCTTGCAGCCACGTTTGTATACAAATGTGATTATTGAAAGCAAAGGCAACAACCGTTCAATTGCCCTGCTGAGCGGTGCAGCAATGCATGTATTTGGCAAAAATTGCGCTGCTCATAAACAGCGCAGTTGTCTAGCATTGTAACATTTCAAGGGACTGCAAGATTCCATTAAATTTGTTCTGCCCACCAAGCAAGCTTGCTCAAGCCGACCGTTCCAAGAGTGCTAAGTCACACCATACCAGTGTTGCGCAGTGGGAAAAGCTTGACAGTTTCCCTCAAGCCCTGCTGCTTTTTGCACTTCTCGCAATGGACGTTGTTAATTGACTGTTGTCTCCCACTTACTTTTTGGTCCATTAGTCATGAAGGGGCTCATGGCCATGAGCCCGGGGTAACGGCAGTGATGTAAGTGCCCCTGCAGAAGCACAATTTGACGTCAGCTCACTTCAAGCCTCATCAGGGCATTCACTTTATCAATAAATTAGCCCTGGCTGGCTGGGGCCAATGTAAAGCTGAGAACAGTGCCCACGCTTGACGGTATTTTGCTTGCATGTGGCATGCCCATAAAGGAGTAGGTGATGTGGCAGCCTTGGCATGAGTCTTGTCTGCAAACGCAGCTTGCCTCTGGCAGGAACACCATGCTGTGAATTGGTTTGCAGCTCACACTCAATTTGGCAATGGAGAGAGAGTGCTTACCAGTTGGCGCATTGTGTCTGGTATGGCAGCAGCTGGCTGTTCTGGCAGAAGTCCACCGGCTTATTAGCCCTGCACGCACAAAAGCCAGCCAATTATACTAGGCGCTTTTGCTGTGTAAACTCCTGTCGTGCACATTCTGAATCCTGCAGGAATTGATTAAAGTGCCAGTAGATAAGCTGTAGAAAATATATAAATTCTAAGTAAAACCGCATCTCTCACAAATACCATGCAAAAGCCGGTGATCATGCAACCAGGCTGCAATGCCCCAGCAGGTAGTACTGTAAGCTGCGACTAAGTGCTAGAACTCTCCTGCTGCATTGTGGCACTCCAGGATTTTGAAGCTATAATTCTATTCATTTTTTGCTTTTCAGATGTGTAAAAAATCCCGCACCATTCCGAGGCGACCCAGGCGAGGCCGTTGGAGTCAGTGGTGGCAGCGGAGCCTCCGTGCAGCAGCGTACCTGCCATGTTGTCGCCTGCCGGTCCAGTCAGCGCCGCCTTGGCCAGAATAGGCGTGTGCAGCGCCCCGGCACCTGCGCGCACGTTACAGTGCATAATCAAGTAATGCAAAAGCAATGGTGATGGATTGATCAGCAACACCTTGCATGTGGGTGTGCCCAAAGGAAAGTAAGACAGCGGTCGTGAGCATGAGGTGGTGCTCACAGGCCCCATGGTGGTGCCTCATGCATTCCTGTGCAGAGTTGCCCACCCTGGCTTAAATTGGCTTGCATGGCTTGAATACAAGTGAAAGGAAAACGGAACTTGACTGCTTGATGAACCTAGCTGAACACAAAACTGCATAGCATATGCTGCAACCAAACATGCAGCTGCAATGTAAAACTTTTAGTGGCAAAACTGCATCCTGACAATGTTTCTACAAGCACTCAGAAGAGATGAACAATGGCTTTGTCTGGGCATAAAATGATATTAATATGGGTGGGTCCCCCCCCTCACCAAGCTGCATGTTGACGGGGGTCCATACGGGGGACAGGTGGTAGTCGGGCCCCACGAGGCTGGCGGCCAGGATGCCCGTAACGGTCCCGGATGCCCCGGAAGGGGTGATTACGGGGTTGATGATGTGGTTGCCCATCACCGACACATACCTGCAGTGCCACCTCATTATACTCAATTCTCCAAAGCAAGTACGTGCAGGCTTGACCTTTTATATTTTGATCCAAATGCCATGCGTGCAGAAGGCCTCTTTTCTTTGAGATTTGCATATTAGGCCTCGTGCTACAGGGAGACAGCTGTCACCCTTGCATTGCGCTTGAACATCTCAGTGATCGCAGGTTTGCAGCAGCCAAAGTAAAATAAAACAGCCCTTCTCTAGGTACAAATTTCTTTGGGCAGCAAAGCAAGAGTTCTGCTAATGTGAGTTACAAGAGACAATGCGAGTTTCATGCCCAGTGACCCAGACATGCGAGGACGGCTTTCACTGATGCCCAGAGGGGTACAATGTCCAAGCACCCCTGTGAGACAATGCGGTGAAGGCGGGGTTCGCTGAGTTGGCAATTACAAAAGATTGGCGTCCCAATTTTCAGCTTCACTCACGCATACCGTGAGCATGCATCCTTACTGAGCCTTACTGTGGGGAATATGTTGAGCGTGCACCCCTGAGAAGCAATCCGCGCGGTGAAGACGGGGACGGCCGAGTTGGCGTACACCAACTTTCGATTCCCGATCACACGTCGTTCACGCATGCATCCTCACTAAGATCATATGAATGAATTCTGAGTGTGCGCACCCTTGAGAGGCGATGCGTGCGGTGAAGACCGGATCGGCTGAGTTGGCGTCTGCGCCGCTGACAAATCCGGTCTCGATGGCCCACCAGATGGCGCCCTCCAGGGGCGACCCCTGCTTGTTTATCAGCACTGCTGTGGCCGCCGCTGCAATTAAACAAACACCTCAACACGGTAGGGGAACCCTGAATCCTGAACCCCGTCAAATATGTTGCCCCGCCTGTCACATGTCAGGGGTTCGATGCAGAGCTCAATGCTTGCACCGCGGACCCCTCAAAATGACAGGGGCGCTCTTATTCGTTCTCGACTGTCAGCACCAGGGTCTCTTTGACTACCTACATAGTCCTGGCCTCGAGCAATATCAGATCCCAAAATGTAAAACTTCAAACCCAATATTATTATTAATATTAATACACGTTTTCCAGTCCTTCAGGACTAGGTACGTCAAGCAACACCTGGATTATAGCTTTCCAGTGTTCTCGATTCTTGCCCTTACACCCAATATAGCATCGGCATTTTGTCTGTGCTTCGAAGCAACAGCCATTGCCGGCGAGGCCAGGTCAGTGACATGTCCAACTTTGCAGGCTTGCTCTATAAATTCCTGATCATATGAGCAGACATGAGCTGAGTATATAGGTGTGACAACGCATAATCACTAATCAGCCAGATTTGGCGCGCACCAGTCCAGAGCATGCCGTTGTAGTAGGACACTTGGGTGAGGCGGGAGTCCTGTGGGTCGAGGGCGATGCCTCCGTCCGGCTGAGTCACCACCACGCCGGCCGCTGACGGGTCCGCAAACGCATAGCTCTTCAGCGCGACCTCGCCTGACAGCTCTGGCAGGCCGCTGCGGGGGAACCCCTGCCAAAAGAGGACACAAAAGGGTGAGTCACCCTTCATTGCACCAATGTCACTTTCAAACCGGGGTTTGCTGCGGGGGAACCCCTGTCAAACCAGGAGAAAAAGGTGTGTCAACCCTCACCCTCACCCTGCAGAACTGCTCAGAACTCACTCTTCTGTCCTGGCATTTCATTATGAGGGCTCTCTCTGCTCTGGCTCTCCATGCTTTGGAAGACAATTTCTCAAGAAAAAAGAAGAAAAATCAAACAGTCTCGCTGTATCTATAGAACGTACAGTGGTGGTACCAAAAGCAGTGGCACTTGCTGGGCATAACCGATATGTTGATGATTTCAAGCTACACCCGAGTCGCACCCCAGATGAATGCAAAGGTTGCTGTACATCTGGAACACTTTGTCAAGCTCTAAGAAATATGCACCCAACACCCCTGCTGCTCTGCCGAAATCAAGCAAGCAACAGCTCTGTGAGCTCTCCAGCAACCGAGGCTGGCACTAGAATGCAACATTGGAAAAAATTGAAGGCAAAGACGATGAGGAAAAAATCGCACCGGGCGCATGAGGGTGGATGTGTTGGAGATGGACCAGGCCATGAGCACGGCGGTGGGTGACTCAGCCTGAGTCATCGCCGCACCACTCGTCATGACAAGCGCCGTGCCGCCGTTGGCCGTCGCATGCTTGCTGCCGCCCTGTCGCAATTGCGCACACCATAATTCCGTTTTCCCACTCTTTTAAGTTTACAAGGACTTTCACATGCAGCGGGCAAGCAGTCACAATGACCACAAAATCCCGCTAACAGGACACAACCCATTTAGTTGTCAATTATGTTTTTTTCTCAAAGAAACACCAATTGCACTGTAGTGCAGGAAGCACAGCATGCTCCCTCAGCCTCTGGAGCTGGATATATCTATGAGCTCGTCATTGTCGACAGGACATTCGCTGGTGATGGCAATCACAATAATATTGCATGCGTTACACCAGTGGTCGCAGTTGAGCATGGCAACGCCATCAGCCCTGAGTCATTGCAGGAACCTGGTAGAAGCTGCGTCACACCCTCATAGTATTCCAGCAATGCAACAAAGTGCAATGCACAGAAAAGCAAGTGGGTTTATATGGATTTGCCGCGAAGGCACGCCGTCGAACCTGAGTCACGGCGGGAACCAGGGAGAAGCTGGCGTCGGCGGCCCAGCCGGAGAAGGCGGCGTAGGCCGGCTGCGATCTTTTGGCCTCGAGGAGGGAACGCTTGGAGACGGCCAGCAGCAGCGGCGCAGTGTACTTGCCGCCCACCGCCTCGCTGTTGATCTGGTATAGGTTCAGCCCCGCCCTGGCGCAAAAGATACACTCTCAGCGCGCTATTTTCTTGGCAGAATTTTTTCCTTGAGGTTGCCAAGGTAAGGAGTGCAAGCTCTTCTTGCTTAGAAAGATACACTCTTCCTTATCGACCTTCCAAACTTTGCACACTTGTTCATACTGCGCCTTTCAGCCACAAACTCGGCAAACCAATTTTACCATACCATGGTTCTCATGCAGCCAGCCCGCGAAGCATGGCATGAACAACAGACTGCAGCAGGGACTCTCGATTCGGCTAATGACAATGCATCCAAGCACTGACAGCTTCCTTCCTCAACAAATAACAGTGAGCGTCTTGCAAACTCAGGACAAACGTCTCCAATCCTGCCCTGTGAAGCCATGCTTCTGGATGCAAGGCTGGCCTGGGTTCAAGTGTCCAGAGGTATGGGCTCAGCGTTCCATTGTTGAAGCGGCCCTTACTACTGTGCCTCATCTCTTTTGCCCTGAAGATCCTTATTGCATGCGCTGCTGAGACAGACACCATCAAAGACCGTAATGAACCACAATTAGGTAAGGCAAGAGTAAACCTGTTACGCACCAGAGGCCAAATTGGTCGATGCCGATTGCCGGCTGCGCGCCGAGGCATCCGTCCGGCAGCGCTGCCGTGTTGGGGCTCTTGCACGCCTCCAGACCGGGCAGAGGCTGCCTGCTGTCTGCGCACAGCCAAAGCCACATCCCTTGACATACATACCAATAGTCAAATCAGCCACGGGGGGCCCCATCTGCTCATTGCCCACTCAAATCAGCCCTGGGGGCCTCATATGCTCAGTAGGAGGTTCACTGGCATCCACCACTCAATGCAGCAGATATCACATCAGGTCATGATGCCATGTTTTTGCCGCCGTTAAGCATTGTTGTGCAACTTAAGGAGAGCTGCCAAGCTATGCTGGCCTGTCCTCAATGAAGTGAGCCACTTCTGATAGCTGCCAGCGCCTCAGATATCTTGTTGGGGAATCTGCACAGGGCAGAGCGCCTGGTGTGCCATGCAGCACTTGCAGATTGGCGGTATCTCTAATACCGGACCATGCTTGCGGGTGCAATTCTGACTTGCTATAGCATACAGGGCTCATATGGATTTGAACACGACAAGGGGGGCGCGCCTGCATCGAGGCCCATGGTGGGCACGGTGAACGGTCCAAGGAATCCATCGGCCGGATTGGCGCTGGCAGATACTGCGATGGCCAGCTGCGATCGCGACAGGTGCAGCCCGCCCTGCAGCTCATAGTTGAGCACCGTGATGTAGAACCGCTGTGTGTCCGCGCTGTCAAACACACCTGCGGTACACAGGATTAGAGTGCGTCAGTGGCGCTATGGTGCGCGTGGCGTGCTGATTGTAGTCTCTTATGCTGGGAAGCTGATGCAACTATCCCCTGAAGAACTGCCTGCTGTGTACCATTGCTATTTCATGCATGCCGCCTGTGGTGCAGCATTGACCGCCCTCATGCGCCCAGTCAGGATATTGGGAGTCTTACAATATATAGGCACAGCCGTACGGTGCATTCCAGGAACATCCGAGGAACACTAAGACTGCACGCCAGAATATTTGCTCTGGTCCGTGCTCTGTGGCTTCGGCACCACTCATGCAGGCAACTTGTGCCTGACCAACTAATGCCGCCTCTCCTGTGAGCATGCATGTTGCAGTATAATAGCATGGAGGCAGGCTCTTGACGTTGAAGTTTCTTTTCAAGGACATTACGAGAGCGGAGCCTTACATGCGGCGTCTGTGAAGCGACCGTCGAGGCTTGAGCCGAAGAAGTCGATGACGGAGACGGGGCCTGCCAGGAACTTGCCGCTCAAGTCATACACCTTGAACACCTGATCGCACACCGCCACAGCTCTCCTTACTCACACTGCGCGCCTCAGCTTGGGACACAAGAATGTATCTCAAGATTGGCTAGCTGTCTTGAGTTGCCCTCTCTTCTGTTGTGAGAGAATGTAGCTATTAGTGATAAGTGACACACGTCAAGCTCAGATAGACTGGCCACTCAGCTGCATGGAGCCAGGAATGAGTCCGGAAATTATCCTAGAATGAAATGCTGTGTTGCCGATGCTGATTTACACCCCAAAAAGAGGCAGTGCCTGTGACAAGGCAGACAGAAGGCACACCAGGCACGAAAAGCATGACATCAAGTAAAGATCTATTTTCCCCACTTCCCCTGGAGCAAGTCTGCATTCATCTGCACTGTACTGAGATTCTGTGCAGGAACCATCCTCTCTTTCAGAGTCTGAATCATTGTGCAGCTGCGCAGTGAGGGAGCAGCCGCGCAGTAAGTGTGCAACTAATTGAGGCAGGTTTGACAGGAAGAATGTCACATACCAGGTCGGTGAGCTCGATGACAAAGCCGTTGCCGACGCAGAGAGATGGATTCGGCGGCCGCACATTCGCGCGCTCCTGATCCGCCACGCTCACTCCGGGGAATGACACCTGCGCAAGGAAAAGGAAATTCCCCTCAATTTTCGAGCCGTGATGCTGCTGAGCGAGGCTGTAAATGCACCGCCGTTGAAAGAAGAATGATTTTAGCTGCAGCGCCAATCCTTTCAAATTCCCCGTCAAGTTTCTTATTCTCTCCAGGGTTGGGCATCTGACAGTCTTGCTCTGTGCTGATGGAACTTCTGCCCACGTTCACTTGGCTAAAAGAAATAAAAAAGTGACTGCCCTGTAAACCGAGTCAGGTTTGTTGTCTTTCTTTGAGCAGCCCTCCTTTGCATGGCATGCACTAGTGCGGCCCACTTGAGGCTTCAGGGTGCAGAGGAAAGCAGAGTGTGGGCACTTCACTGCACCTGCCTTGTCTTTGACCATGATCGATGCCCGAAAAAGGCCACCGCATGCATCACAGAGTCCTGGGTCTAAGCTTCTCTGCACCCCCGCTCTTGCCGGGTGAAAGTGTTGGGATTAAATGTAGATCTAATGTTGCCTACCTTGGCCAAGGGGTCAGCCTGCTGTGTCAGCGGGTTGAGCATCTGCGTGTTGACGACTGAGGGAATGCTAGAGCGGTCCTCTGTCGCCTGTGCATGCATGCGCACATCTGAATTAGTCTGGCTGCTCCCATCTGTCTAAATTAGTTTCGCTAGCAGACCCTACGCAACTGGCAGTACAGTATGCTGCTTGTGCCCAATGAAGACGTTGTGGATGCCGAGGAACTGCACATGGTAAGCTGGGAATGTGTACTTGCATTCAAAATGAGGCGTGAAATTTGTGATGTGGTTACTAGTGCACTGGACGGTAGCAAGTGAAGACATCTGGGAGGGCGAAGCGCACCTGCGAGGACTCAGGGTCATCGAAGTTTGTGTTGCGGGTGCGCCACTGCAGCGGCTGGAACGCCTCTGCAGCCTGGGACGTGGGTGTTGCCAGGTAAGATGTAAATGCCACTGAATATCTGTTCTGGTCAGCACCTGCATGCCAGCATCGCGTAATTTGTTTAGTCTCTCGCCTCTGCACCTCCTTTTATTTGCCCAGCTCCGCGGTCACAGCCGTTAGAGAATGCATGGCATGGTGTTTGGAACGCAGGAGCTGCAGCTCCACCAAGAGTCGTGCTCGACTTGCTCTCACTGGGGCGGTCATCTTAGATAAAGCTGTGTCATGCCGGGTAAATTTGCACTGGCGTTCGGCTGCGAATACCATGGTTAGGATTTCTACCCAGTTACACGCACCTGGGAAGGAGAGCTGGCCTGCAGCGCTGCCTGACCCTGGAAACCCCTTCACCTGGACATCTGCTCTGCCATGTGGGATGAACGCCGCATACCCCACAACAACCAGAGTAAACAGCTTCCACATTTGAAAAACCAGATAAGTCTATGCTGAGCTAGGTACGAGACTGTGCAAGAATGACCCTTCAACCAGTCCCTTCTGGCTGAAGGGTTCCGTCGAAAGTTAAGCGCAGCTGGGAGACTGTTGAAATACTGCGCTGTCTCGCGCCTCAGCCTCTTTTTTGAACAGGAGATCCCTACAACTGGTCCTTGCTTCTGTCAAGATAATAATTGAGCAGCCCTTTCTGCAGCGTGCTACTAAGGTCGCGTATGCAAGCTAGCTCGAATCTAATGCCCTCTGCACAGTCCTACTTTCTAGAGCTTTGCATGCACGGTACGAAGCAGAAGTATCCTGCAGTAATATCGGTGCCTTTAGGCCCGTTGCTGGCTTTCGTAAATTTGTAGTTATTTGACCAGGCACGCCTTCGCACCGGTGCCAATGGAGCTTGCTGAGCTGGCTGCGTGCTGCATGCTGCATGTGCTTTACAAGCACTGTTTTTCACAACGTTTCACCCAGATTTCTAGACCTGTAATAGATATTGTGCAACAGCGCACTTTGCTGACGCAGGCTTCACTTTGATGCAGCTTGCTCGGCGCTAGTGGGGCAATGTCAAGTCACCACATTTGAAAATTGTCACGTTGATTGTGTGGCCCTTGACGTCTCAAAGGGCGTGTCTTCCTCCTATCTCCTCTGTGGTCGCATGCAATCGACCAGAATTATGCAGAAAGGCGAAAGAAGCTGTGCTGCGCAGTGTCCATTACGAATCTGCAAAAGCAGGCAATCGTGCGGGTGTCAGCTTCCTTGTCCACAAGAACGCGCGAGTTTGCTAAACGTCAATGAACAGTGACTGTAAAAATTTGGTGCCAAGGGCTGTACCATCAAACTCGCAAAGGAACCAAACAAGGTACTGGGGCTTCAACGGACCTTTGCACTCCTCGAGACTTACTGATGCATCAGGATCGGATTGTAATACTTGGGACAGTGTCTTCAGCATACGGGATGCCTGCTCAGTGTGCCGCACCGAAGAAATACCCCATTTCAAATAGTGGATTTTTGAGAGGTACGACAGCAAGAATTGGTCTTCAAGGTTCAGAGCGGGGCTCGTTCTTGCTTGCAGGGAGAGGACTGATGGCAGGAAGATTGCGGACTTGTATTATACTGGTCGAAGCAGTGTTGGTCCTGTTTGCAACCAGCTTTGCAGCACAGCAAAGCGCCGTCTCCACAGCTGATGAAGCAGCGGCATACCAAGAGAAACTCGTCCGGAAGACCTCGGGCCTGCATCCGACCCAGCACAGCTTCAACGGTTACCGCGGGCCCTGGCTGGAGAATGTCTTCATTGACAGATGGCTGTCGTTGAAGCCCTCTACTTCACGCCTGTTCATTCCTGTGGCATGGACTGATGCCATGCACTTCAACACCCTCAGAATGCACATGCAGCAGGTGCTCAACCATCTGAGCCCGAGGTTCAAGTACTTCACAGTGGTGCAAGCCGGCCGGGGCTTCAATCACCCAATGCTGAATCTGCGAGTGCCCAGTAATATTGACATCTTATTCTTTATGGCAGGAGGGGACACCCCACTTCTTAAAACTGTCCCTGTCCCCCTGTTAAAGGAAGAGCTGCATCCCTTGGGGCTGGCAAAGTCGATATCGGTGAGCAGCCAGTGTGATGTTCGCAACCATGAGATTAGGAGGGCTCTGCAGGCGCAATATAACAGCTCTTACCTATTTCTCAGCCAGAGTGAGGACTGGAAAGTAGTTACAGAGAGCAGCAACTTCTCCTTCTGCCCCAGGGGATATGGCCCCACATCCTTTCGCCTCTACGAGACTCTGCAGCTTGGAACAATCCCAATCTATGTCTGGGAAGAGGAGAAGTGGCTGCCCTTTGAGGACCTGATTGACTGGAACGAGTTTGCAATCATTGTGGAGAGTCGTGACATTGACAGTATTGCTGCTAAGATTGCAGAGGCTGACTTGCCACGCATGCAGGCAGCTCTAGCCAAGCATAGCCACATGTTCACGTATGACTTCACAGTGCAGTACATCTTGAAGAGGCTTGCTGATGAACCATCTCAGAAACCTGTTGAAGATCTGCCTGGGACCGAGGTAAAGCCTGCTGGGGAACGCCCTTTGACTGCAGCACAGCCTGCTGGGAAATTGAGGTTGCAAAAGGGTGAAAGGAGGGGCAGCACCTCGTTTGTCTAATGCGTCTGTACACTAGTACATTAGCGCAAAGTGGGCGGAAATCGGGGAGGCACTATTGTTTTTCAGTGCTTTGTGGGGTTTGTGGGGATTTGTTGAGTTGGGGTGGGAGTGATTGGGGTTCAATTAAGACTAGAAAAGGTGTCCATGAATGGCCACAATATCTACATTTTGGGGGGGTCCCTCGCGACCATCGGCAGACATAGGGACTAGGGTTAAGAGGCTCGGTATAATCCTGAGGGCAAGCTGCTTAAGCTTCCTGGGGGCGAATTGCCAGTAATACAGAGGACTGTGAAGGAGAACAACGCGGCTGCAGCGCTGTTATGAGGAGAACCAGAAATAAGCTCGTTTGGAGAAGTAACACGTGACTAATATTGATGTTTACAATGCTGACGTCAACATGATGTACGTACCATCATCAATGGAAAAGCTGAAATATCATCAGCCAATTGCAATGACACTGTACATGAGACTAAATGTAACTTTAAAGAATGCTATGCATGCGCATGCAGGCAACACTGATGATGACTGCAGACATCAGCTTAGACAAAGTTTTGCAACACTCGATAATAATAATGCACTTGTCATATGACACGGGCATGTAAATATTTCCAATCCAACAGGCGTCGCCTTCTCAAATCCACACTCTGGCAGATAGTCAAATTTGGATGCATCCCTCAGAGGCTGACATAGAAAAGTGCACTTGCACCATGACAAGAAGCTGCAGAGATCACCGCGACTTTGTAAGTCACCAATACGAGTGCCATTGCCCCTGCTATAATGGCACAGAATGTTCATGCAACTTGTCCAGTACAAAGTTCTTGAGAATCTTCACCAAATATGCCTCTCTTGCAAGTATCGTACTCTCTCTGATTGCACACTCACTCCTTGCGCTCTCTCTCTCATACAAAACCTCCCTTGAGCTGGCGAGCAACAAGCTACAATTCATCCTGTTTCACACCTTTGCAGGCACACAATGTGCGCAAGATTGGAGCAACGCTTGGTGTCCTGTAAAGCGCTGCTCTAAGAGACAGCCATCACTGGAAGTATCACGCCCATCTGTACAACCAGTAGACCTTCAGTCGGTGTCCCACTTTAATCTTAAGAAGCTCCTCTAACCATCTCCGAAACGGCGCATCTGCACCGGAGCGGCAGATGAGGGCTGCATAGCACCAAATGAAGCTCAAAGTAAATGCTCCCAATGGCATCTGCCAACACTGCTGATGACACCTTCGGCACTCATTAGGGAAGGCCACTCGAATGCTGCGCGTCTGCTCCTCAGGAGACGCCAGAAATTTACCATTGCTCACAGCTCTGTAGCATTAGGACTTCGAGCGCGTTATCCTCCGGAGAAGCACTCTAGGGTCCCTCACAAAAGCACAACATCCAGGGCAGCTGCAGCACGCTAAGGGGTTGAGACATGTATCCTGGGTATTATGAGTCCTCAGGACAGCCAAGCCTTGCCACATGGACACCCACATTGCATGACCAAATGCCTGCGTGCACTCTCCTACTCGAACGCCTGCTTACTCTCTCCCATGACAACCCTAGCACACCCCCCAGGCGGCAAGCCCCAGGGGAGCAAAGCCGCGCAGCATCACTCCTTGTAAACGCGGAACAGGATTGACAAATTGTGGCCACAAAAGCCCAAGGAGCTTGTCAGTGCAATGTTGAATCCTTGAGAGGCGCCCACGACGACCCCAGTATTCTCCCCTAGGAGGCATGCCCTACAGGGAGCGAAGCCGCGCAGCATCACTCCTCTCAGTCTGTCACCTCTACTCTTCTGTCTCGACTGACAGGAGTCTGGCCTGCAGCTTCAGTAGCAGGTGGGTCACAACTTCAGATGACATTGCATGCAGCTTCACGTGTTCCTAACTGGATTGTGTGTTTGTCTTTCTCGCCTGCAGCATTACTACTCCTTGTACGCGCGGAAGAGGATGGACGAGTTGTGGCCGCCAAAGCCGAAGGAGTTTGAGAGTGCGACGTTGACATCCATCGCCTGTTTAGACGCGCCCACAATGACCCCCATGTCCACTTCATCCTCGGGGTCCTCCACATTTATCGTGGGATGCAGGTAGCCTGCGATGACAAATTGAGCACTAAGCACCACCCCTGTGGGTTACACAATCTGCATGGCAGACACTCGAGCTGCAGGCAGCGCAAATCGCAGTGTTGACTTTGCTACCACCCACTTATGCAAGAAGTAAACTTACGTGGTCTGCAGAAGATAGCGCGCCGAATAGGCAAGGCAACCTCAGTCTCAGATGTAGAGAGAAGAGAAACACACATATCAAGGAATATCAGTCTCAGAGAGAACAGGAAGGGCCGCTGCACATTGCCTGCCAGCAAGGGCGGGACGCTGTCTCCCCATGTGCTGCCAGTGCCAGAGCAAAACAACATGGAGACTGACTTCTGAAACTCAGAAACATCCCTGATTGAGCTTGAGCACATCCTTGGCATGGATGGTGTCAGGTGTTCAGTGGATTCCAATGTCTTGCTGTCGCCCCAGAAGGCACCGACGTGAGAGAACTACATGTACTAGTCATCCCTAAGCCCACCGGGACCGAGCGCACAATCGCATATGGCTTGCATGTGATCAGCTAGTCCTGCCAGGTCTGAACACTGAATGACTGTACAACATGCCTAGCAGAGATGCAAGCTGGTTGTGGTCATGAGGACCCTGGAGCCACAAGGGCATGGGCTTATGTGTAAATCCCCTGACCGAGGGTGAGCGCACCGGTGCGGATGGCTTGAATGGTAGCGATGGCTTCAACTGCGCCGGCGGCTCCGAGCAGGTGCCCGATCATGGACTTGGTTCCGTTGATGCGCAAATCGCTGCCCGGGAACGCCGCCCGGATTGCCCGGTACTCCGCCAGGTCACCCGCCTGCCAGCACAGCGCCAGCTCAGCCACCTTTTCTCTGTTGATACTTGGCATCCGGTGCATTTGACTCTTCTGGCCAAGCAATCCTCACACCGGCCCGGTCTCAGACGGCAAAAAGGATACAAGTGACAGCCTCCGAGCATTTTGATGTGCGTTCAATAACAGGCATACGTAGGGTTCTCTGCAGTAGCTGGGCAGCTCAGTGACGTCACAAATTAGGGTGGCATGTCGCCGTGGGACGCTGTCTGATTGTACAGGCTGAGAGGGCCTGTTGGAAAGGAGACTGTCTGCTGTAAGGCAACACACCTGTGTTGAGGTTGCATGGGCGTTGACGTAGTTGACCTCCTCTGGTGAGATGCCGGCCTGCTCCAGAGATCTGCGAATGCAGATAGTCATGCTTAGTACGCTTTGCTCACTCCCCCCGCTTGGTCCTCTAAAAGTCGTGTGCAGTCATCGGAGTACCAGAGACGCTGGATGCACGTGAGCAAGTCCAGCACTGTGCGGGATAAGTAAATGGCAGATTTGAAAACTTGTCAAGTGTGCAGCGCGCTGCGCAGTAAGGAGATGATGAACACCGGGTGCTTGTGCATGCATGCATACAGCAATAGTCACGTGACATGTGTACAAGCGGCGCACTTCTTTATGCAGAGCAGGACGCCCGTAATACCCCCAGGCAGGAGCAGTGTCAGGGGAACAGCAAAAGGTGTGGCGCACTTTTGTATGCAGAGCAGGACGCCCTTTCCCTGCGGCTGGGGCTCGGTCATGTGGTGAGCGTCGCAGGTGCAGCTTCCGCCCAGGAACTCCGCCAGAATTGGCGCGCCCCTCGCCTTCGCATGCTCCAGCTCCTCCAGCACCAGCACGCCTGAGCAGAAGGGTCTCTTTGTAATAACCCCTGAAACCCCTTGCGACCCTGAAGTAATACTGCACCCGATGCAACCTAGTAATAAGCTTGCACCTCTGTGCGCTTTTGTGATTGCTACCCAGACAGGCAGTGCCGCAGCAGCAAGCAGAGCCCCGTGCATGCGGGAACGGTCCATCAAATTTCATGGTAAGATACAAATAAGTACAAGAGGAAGTGTATATGTAAAGCAGATTGCTGTGTGAACACTGCTTTGGACCTCTAATTGTCACTTTCAGAACCATCGCCAGCGGCCACACTGCGGTGGTCTCTGCTCATGCAAAGCAGTATGTTCAAATACCCCTCCGTCCAGCGTTCTCATCGGTATCAACACTACCAAAGGGCGGCTGCAGCGGCGAAATCTCCGCTTCCATGCAGTTGTTGCACATGCTTTGGGTATTATTCAGTAAATATTCTGTAAAATACCCTTCAGCCGCACCTGCGCCCTATCCCTGCTAAGTAAGCAAAAAAAAAGCTTCCTGTTCAACGACCAACACTGTCCGCAGCCGCACTGGCGGCCTCGCCCCATCCATGCAGTTGTTGCATGTCCATTGGAGTGGACTTTTTGTGCTCTCTCTCCAGAAATGCCCGCAGCCGCACCTGCGCCCTCGCCCATGACAAAACCATCCCGGTTACGGTCCCAGGGGCGGCTGGCGCGAGCGGGGTCCTCGTTGCGCTGCGACAGCGCGCGGCACGCTATAAATCCCCCGATGCCCGAGGGGATTATAGCCGCGTCAGCGCCGCCGGCCAGCATCAGATCCGCATCCCCGTTACGGATGTGGTCCGCCGCGCTGCAAGAGAGACGAGATACTTTGAAGACCACGACACATCAAATTTCTGGCACATCACCCATCGTTCGTAATGGCAGAATCCTCACGTTCTAGATGACCAGTGCAAAGAGGCTCACAGGTTCATGAGGCCTTGCGCGTGTGAGCACTGCAGGTGCATTCGCTGTGCCCCTCAGCTTTACATATCTAGGGTTCATGGCAACAGCGTGGGTCCTTCTTCTTGAATCTTTTTTTATAATCGTAATCGTAATCCTAAAGACGGTCAAAGCCCCATCTGAGGATGCAGTAACTGCCCAACTTCTGCTCAGTTGTACAGTAGGTACCTCAGGCCCAGAGACAATGGGTGGCACTCCACAAAAAGGTCATTATCAATTCTTATTTTGATATTTTTTAAAAAAGTCCAACTTCTCACCTGAGGATGCAGTAGTTGCCGGTGGCGCATGCGGTTGAGATGGAGTAGTTGGGCCCCATGAATCCCACGTCCATGGCCAGCAGCGCACCCGACATGTTGGTGATCGCAAACGGTATGCAGAATGGGTTCATGCGCCGGAAACCCTGCAATGCACACACCTTAATCATTTCCCACCGCTCCCAAAACACTGGAACTACTCCGCCATGGTGTAGTTGTGACCTGCTGGACCTGATGTGTCAGCTTGACATGGCGACACCTGATAGGAAATGCGAAATTGCAAAGACAGGCCTGGCCTGTTCCCTTCAGACACCCGTCAACTCTATTGCTGGCAGATCACGCAGCAATTACCGTGTATTCCACAGCTCGGTAACGTGCTCGGGTGAGATCTGCGCTCTGTGCACTGAGAACCCATGCATCCTTACTAGTGAGGAGTGCTCTGTGTCTGACGAACTCTGCCAAAATGCAGTTGGGGAGCGTTAAGCCTCGCCTTCTGTGTGAGGTCCTCCACTGCGTTGCTGAAGGTGGCCATGCCGCCCATGGCTGTTCCGATCAGGATGCCACACTTGCTGAGATCGAGCCCGTCAAAGCTCCCGGGCTCCAGGCTGAATCCAGCACTCTGCAGCGCCTGCGCGCAAATCATTGCAGTGGCTATGAAGGCTATCTGTTCTGGCCTGATTCCAATTTTCCATAAAAAGTCTTACCGCTGCCGTCGCGCACCCCATAAGACAAGATGCCATTGGAGCCGGTGATTTCACACATGCAAATATGGCAGACATGCAACTTCCTCAAGAACCAGGGATTCTGTGCACATGCCAAGGGAAGCATTTCGTTCCAGTCATATATGCATGCATGAGAAAGCTAAGTGCCGGCTGTACATCTCCATGCTTGCTATGCATGCGTTGCAGTGGCCACAGCAGTGGAAATCTGTCGCTATGAGATCTGATTGGGGAGGCTCGGCAGTCTCTATCCGGTTGGAACACCACCCGAGAGGCGCTTCTTGAGGACAAATGGGCATAGCCACCTTTTTGCCGGCGACCATGGTGTACTTTATGCAGTTGTCCATGCGCCGCTCGTTCTTTTTTGTGACGTAGCCGTTGCACTGGAATCCCTTTATCTCTCCAGCAAATCGGGTCGAGTAGCCCTCGACAGAGAAGGAGTCGATCTGGGACACACCGCTCTTCCCCTGCACAGCATTGCATATTCGAAGAAGCCATTCCCACGCTCATGTTGAAGCACAGACACCATGTGCAGCCATCTTTGCCAGTGCCTGCTGACAGGGCAGTGTTGCAGCAGCTCTGCTGTCTGTGCTTGCGATCAAGGGTGAGAGCATACTTATTCTCGTACAATGAACAAGGCGTAAATGGTGAAGAGCGCAAGGTGGTACTAAGACATTACCTCGAGCAGGTTGTTGTAGAACTCATCGGGGTCATGACCAAGGCAGCTGACCACTCCCATCCCCGTCACCACTACCCTTCTCTCGGGTTTTCCATTGCCATTCTGGCTGCATGAAGCAGCCTGAATTCGCCTAGCATGACGGATCTGCGCCCAGCAGACACAGTGCATTGGTGGTCAACACAGGCAGAGCAGCGCTGGCATCGACCTTCCCAAGTCAAGGTCTTTGGAGCCTCACTTCAATTATTGAATACATCGAACTCTCAAATGAATATTTTTAATGCAGTGGATCACTTTCACCCAATAATGTGCAAGAAACATTCACCTTTTTCGTTGTTTTGACAAAGCAGCAGCGCCCATTGACAGAAGTTCCCCGCAGCAGTTGCCCAGCGGGCGGCTTCAAAGCCATAACAATATAAAATGATCAGCAAGCACTCCTCCAGGAATTTGCTCCCGCGGGCTTGCCAGATTTTGCTCGTACTATGCCACTGGCCAATCCCAAAAATGTAAGGAGCTGCCTGGTGCTGGGATCTTCACAGGAACGACGTCTATGCACAGAATGTCGCACGAAGTGTACTAGTAAGTGACAAAGATTGATTGCATCTCCTCGGCAAATCGCAATGTAGGCCATTTCGACGCTTCGTGGGGTGTTGATCTCGGATTGGGGTCGATCGCCTGCCCATTGGCGATCTTGGGCACAATTCTGGGCAGGTAGGCTTCAAGTACGAGTGCCTTTAGCAGCATTCTCCAAATGCATTTTCATGGGCGGCCGTGACATCAATGGCAGCCCAGGAGCGCGCAGAAGGCGCTTCAGGGAACACTACATCATCGGGGCAAGATCCTGTGTATCCTCTGCCAGAAGGAAACCATGAACAAGTGAGTGCTGATAGGGAGCAGTTTGATCGGGCGCTCAAGCGCGTGCATGAGTACTTCGGCATTACAGACAAGGTTCCCAGGGTCGGGGGCCGAGAACTAGACTTGCACCAATTGTACTGCAACGTCACAGCGCTAGGCGGATGTGCACAGGTCATTGCCAAGAAACAGTGGCGGGTGAGCTAAAATTCCCCTAAATTCTTGTAAATTGGCACAAATCGCGTTGTAGTCATCTGTTTCCTGGCAGCTGAGTGCCTCAGGATGGTCTCTACCTCTCATGCTTACTATGCATCCCCCTGTACTTGACATCTGAGAGGACCCTTGTGGTTAATAGGATGCTGCGGAGTCATTCAAGTATCCAGATACCATCACAAGCGTCTCATTCACGCTGCGCAAGGCCTACTCGCAGCTCCTCTGGGACTTCGAGCAGATATATTTCTTCGAGGTCAGCACCATCCCACCTGTTCAGCTGCCTTTACACCCTGCTGTCCTGCAGACGAAGAACTCGAGTCGTGTTACAGCGTGTGATATGCGCTGGGACCAATCGCTCATGGTCTTTGTGCAGGCAAAGGGGCCAAGATTGCCTCCCCCAGGGACAACATCAGCGGTGATTGCTACTGCTGCCAGCACTTCCGGCAGCGGCGGTCCCTCTGCGCAGCCTGGGGACAATGGTAATGCAGCTCCATCCATGCATGTTAGCCAGGGCCACTGTCGAGCTCGTGCATGCTTGCATGCATGCAGATGGTCTCAAGCATGCGCCCACTTTGTCTTGAAAAGTGTTTGAGGGTGCACTTGCATCTTCAGCCTGCGCCTGTCAGCTGCTAAGTGCAAGAATGGATGCTGTGCTCCCTGGATCTGCCGAAGGACCTTGCAATATTTGCACATGATTAGCATCAGCCGCTTATTCTACAGGACATGTACCGCAATCGCTCCATGGATCTGCAGCACTGAGGAGTGTAGGACTCCGGGTATAAGCAAGTCCTCAATAGGCCCACTGCACGCGTGCAGGGGTGGGCGCATTGAAGAACGGGGGGAAGAAGCGGCGCAGCGATGAGCTGGATCCGACGGCGTTGCTTCAGCTGCCCCACGGCTGCCCCATGCAGCTGGTGGCTGCATGCAGGGGTAGGATTACATCACATGAGTTAATGTACCTGAACTTGCGTACACTTATGCGCCCATTGGGGTCAGCAAGGAAGTTGAAACGGGTAGGCAGTCGGTGTGCTCGAGATGTGCAACCTTCACCTGCAGCTTGTCTGCAGGCACATCTTGCCTCTTCTGGCAAGAGCAGCGTGGTACTGTAACAATCACGGTGCATGTGGCGTGCAGGTGGCGGGAGCACGGAGTCACATGCGGTGGGCACGCAGGGGACGGTGACGCTGGACGGCCGGTTCGACTGCGGCTATTTTGTGACGGTGCACATCGGACGGGAGGAGTTCCGGGGGATGCTCTACTACCCGCCCCACGAGCCGGCAGAAGTGAGCATGTCTGCGCTTGAGTCATCAAATGTGTTTCGTGTACAAGTACACCATCGAATATACCATTGTTTTTGCTGGACTCCCCGCACCCCTGCAGTGAACAAATGTTTCTGGAGCTGCTTTACAGGGGCCTTGGTGGCGTCTACACATCTGTGGCCTTACTCCAAATTGTTGGGCTCATCAAAAGCTTGAATTTCCAGGGCTGAAGTGCAGACAACGCCATGTACAGTTCAGTGGTGTGTTGGTTGCTTGCTTGAGCGCTGATTTTGTGTGCACGCCAAAACAGGCGCTGCTGGCGGACTCAGCCAGGCAGCCCGCGGTGGCGGTGGTGGGCACACACGAGGACAGGGGCAGAAAGGTGAGGCGTTCCCTCCCTGAAAGCAATTACGCATTCCTTTGTATCCCCAGAAATCCAGGGGACTCCAGACTACTGTAAATCTATGCGCTTTTCAGATTTCCCTGAGAGTCCATATCGCCTCTCCTACTTTGGAGGCACCTGGCATGAATGCAATGCAAGGACATGCCTGGGATGTCGACTATGTTAAGTGCCCGAGGACTTGTGTATTTTGGCCCTTGTGTATTTTGAAGAAATTGGCGCTCTCAAAAGAGGCTGCAGTGGACAGCGTGAGAGTCACCAGCCGACTGCAGGCAAGAAACAATCAGGCCATTTCTTTAGTAATTTGTGGGCGCAGGGGTTTGCAAAGGGGCGCGACCCGAACGTGCCCAAGCCCAATCGGACGCCGTTCAATTTTTTCAGTGCAGATGCGCGGCCCAGGGCTAAGGCCGCGTTCCCTGAGCTCCCACAGCCTGAGATCACCAAAAAGGTGTGCGCTGCAGCCACTGTGTTGGACTGCGGTAGCATTTGGTATCAGATTATCAATAAAGACGACAAATAGAGGAATGTATCAGGGTTGTTGAACTCCCTTTGAATCCCCCTCATGCTGTGCTACCAGTAGGGTGTGATATGTTGGGTGACAGAACTGAGGCTGTGGGGACTTTGGTGTCAAAGAAAGTTCATACAGCAATATGGGACAGGCAGGAACTTTGAGTTGCAATTTTGATGATGTGACTGCGACTGGTGCCCAGGTGGGCGAGATGTGGCAGACCTCCAGTGAGGAGGACAAGGCGCCCTTCAAAGCCATGGCCCAGGCCGACAAAGACCGATACCTGGGAGAATTAGAGGCCCACAACTACAGGTGGGGCAATCGATCAATCTGAAACTGCTCTGCACAGGATTGCTCTCGGGTGGAGGACGCATGAATTAAGGGCTGAAACCTCTACTTCCTGAGAACTGGGGACCGTTATAGAACCCAAACTTTACAGAGCTCATGAAGTGTCTATCTCAAGGACTAGCATTGTCCAAGACTGCTGCAGGAAGTGGTACAATAAGTGCAGTTGAAAAGTTGGAGTTGTCTACTCTGGCCTTGCAAATCACGGCATTACAGCAGCTATTGCTTCGCGCAAGGCAAGAAGTGTCACCTGTGCATGGAGCAAAAACCCCAGTGATGGCGTAATCACAAGATGCTTCTGCACATTGTTGATGGCAGCAGAACATCTTGAGAGGCGCGGCTTTCTCTGAAGTGTCAGTCGCTGCACAGGCTGGCGACGCAAGCAGCGCAGGCGCAGGCGCAGTCAGCTGCGCAGCAGGTGGCCAGCCTGGCTTCCCAGCAGCAGCCGCCGCCGCCGGCAGCTACGCCGCAGCTGCCGCAACCGCCGCCGGGAGCCGCCGGGAACGTTCCCATAGCTACCCCGCAGCTGCCTCTGCTGCCCGAGGCGCAGCAGGCCACCCCCCTAGGGCTGTGCCCCCACATCATGGGCATGCCACATCAGCACTCACCTCAGCAGTTGCCATTCCTCCTGCAGCAGGTTCAGCTGCCATCATTGCAGCAGCAACATTTGCAATTCAGCGCCTCGCTGCTGAGCCACACAGTCCCTCAGTCCGCACCGCCGCAGAACCATCTGCCGAGCATCATAGAAGGCTGGAGGCCTAGCTAATTCCCAACAGCCACACCTGTTGTTGGCCAAGCGACCTCGAGTTGATGCCTTTGTGATCACTTTGCTTGGTGGAATATATATAAATGAATGCCCCTGAGAGGTGGGGTGATGGAGGTTACCGGGGGCCATTAGCAACAAACCCATCAGGGTCGATCTGCCTCGCGGCCGCTGCGGGCGCCACTTGTCATGTAGCAGCCGGGACTGAAGTGAAATTTCAAGCGCACACAAGTAGTTGCTTGCATACTATGTACTTAGTAAGCAGACAAGGCCTATGGTTGACCCTGCCATTTATGGCAGGTGCCTTCTTGCTGGCAGGTCATGTGGCTCTCTAGATCTTGCAGGGGACTCTAAAGTAACTTAGTTCAGAGTCCCCTGCTCTCTTGGAGTGCAGGGGGAATATGAAAAAACCTAGAGATATTCCTTGATGCCCCTCCTGCAAGAGAGCGGCCTCGCTGGCCCCAGTGATGTCACCCAAGATTTTGGGAGGCTGTTAGTCAACACGACTAAGTCAAGCAAATGGTGACTAATTGCCATTGCACCGCTGTCCTAGTCAAGTGTACCAGCTTAAGCATTTCCGTCCAGCCCGGATATATAAGCATGCATCTGCATGCAGCGTTGACATTGATGCGCCAGTGACTTTCGGCCTGTGCTGCCTGTGCTTTTATCCTTGTGACATGAGACCTGTGTGTTTATAGAAGGTGTTGCTGTGAAGTGCAACCCAGTGTTGCAAATATCCAGTGTTCTAAGCTGTCGCTGCTTATGTTTGGTGGGTTTGAAGGCTTGTCGGAAAAGTCAAAGCAGAACAAGTAGCCCGGAAGGATGTGTCTATCCATGGTCATTGTCATGCTTGCTTAGAAATGCTTTCATCTTCTTCTGTCTATTCACAGTAGAGTTGAATGATGTGTGACTGCATGAAATATGATATAGATTGGGAATGCAGCTGAACCTTCCAATTTACCATTTTATATTCATTGAGACATCGTTTAAAATCTGTTGCTGTGACCACATGTCTGCAAATTAGCTTCAAAGCAAAAGCAGAAATGACTTCCTATATCCTATAAAGAGAACCCAAAAACCTAATTTCGGTTTGCAACTTGTGGGGCTCAAATCTGCAGATAGCGCTGCAATCATCGCAGCTTGTAAAGGGACCTCATTGTGTGGTGCTGGGTCGCCCAATCTCACACACACTCTGGGCAATCCTTGTTGCAACTCCCCCTTTCACATGCGCCCAGAGCTTGCTATTGTGCTGCTGCCTCCTTGTCCAGATCTGCAAATGCATGACATCACTCTCTTACTATGGTAGAGTTGCCTGCCCATCCAATCACCCATCCATGTGCCCCTGAGAAATTTAGTATACCGTATTTAAAAAATACTGGAAATTTCATGTATTCCAGTCCGTAAACTAGGTTCGTAAAGCAACACCTGAATTGTTGCTCTCCAGTCTTCTTGATACTGGCCCCGATATGCAGAATGCAAGAACACTACCGTATTATCTCTAGTGAAGGTTGGGCTGCGCCTTAGTCAGATGATCTATGAAACATCTTGCTTTGAAGGCAGAACATTGCGCCAATCCTCCTCAGTAATGCTTGACAAAATCTCTGCCATGTGAAGTTTTCTTCCAGAATCATGGTTTTGTGTCAAACAGCTCAGTGAATGCTTGCACGCTCCTGTCGGGGAAAACTGCTTGTTCCGTACCTGTGGGTTATGGGCCATCTGGTCTCCAAGCTGCAGCAGCTTCTCCGGCACCTCCTGCCAGCTTCCCAGCTGCACGACCTCAAACCTCAGGAACCTAATGGGATATAACACGCTCCCAGGGGCCATGTGGCGCTCCAGCAGGATTGGTATGCACCCTGCGGCAAGAAAAGGACAAGTCACAGCTAAATTTCACCTCGGCAAAATTTCCACAGCGCCTTCCATTTTGAGTGTCCTATGCACAGGCATACCGTATTATAAACTTTTTCCCGATGCATCCCCCACCCATAATTGCTAGATCTATGAGACCTGACTAAGAGCAGTGGTGCGTAACAGAGCACAAGGAAACAATTTGCGGCCATGTTGCTGCATCTCTGCCATTTGAATCAACTTACCTCCTGCCCTCTGCAATTCAATCTAGCTCCCTACATGGCTATCAAAACTGGTTCCAATCCCCTGCTAATCCGCAGCAACCTCATATCTCTCGTCTCATCCACTGCTGCACAGATTGCGAGGGAGGGGTCCATGTCGCAACAGCACTTAAACACCGTACTCCTTAATTGTGGATGTTTTCAAAGAACTTTAATGCAAATGATTCGACAGTGACGTTTACTACGGTGCCAGATTTCCTGCAGAATTGCTTAAGTATGCAAAGGCCCCCACCGGCTTCGAGGGCCTCCCAGATGCGGAACTGCTCGGCGCAGATGCCGGCCGGGGCTGGTGCGAACTGCGCGCTGTGCATCGCCATCGAGTATTCCCATGCGCTGGCCGCAGCCGCCGCGCCGCCGGGCCGGCCGCCGTAACCTGCCAGCGTCCGCAGCGTTCCCTGCTTCATCACCTGCACCACATGATTCTTCAACACCAATTCTTGTGTCGGTTTTCTTTCAACAAGGTCTTCCTATGTAGGGTTCTTTCTGCCGGAGCCAAGCTGGTATTGTGCACATGCCTGCTGTGCATGTTATAGAAGTTGCATACCCAGGGATGAGATGATCACTACGGACCAGAGATTTACAGAAGGAGGCAAAGTGCATCGACAGACAAGGTGCAGGAAAAGGATGCCACAGTTCCTGTCTCCTGATTGATTGGCGCATGCAAGCAAACATCTACTGATGCGGGCATGCTGCCTGAGAGACTGTTCTGGCCCCCACCAGCCGAGTGGCTGAAAGGCATCCTAGCAGGGACAAAGCGCAGGTTGCCCAGGATGCCACCCAAGAGGATGCATTTTGAAGTGGCATCCAAGGACGTGTAAGAGTGCAAGAGCCTGACCTGATTTGAGCTGGTTTTGTTTGCCAGAGCACCGAGCATCTCTGTTCGCTCTGGCTTCCCTCCTGTGTCTCCCGCCCACGCCCACAGGTATGGGCGCTCTAAGAACTCGAACTTGAAGGCAGGTGGCAGCGACCTCAGGTTTGCCAGGCCGAGAGGCATCCACAAAACCCTCGGCACGGGCGCAGTGGTCGTCTGCAGAAGGTACTGCAGGCTCTGGTCGCCCATCCCCGCGTGATGATAGTGCCTGAACACCTGGACGACCCCATCGCCGTAAAGGGATGGGGTTGTCTGGGAGAGAAACTCATCGCTGGGGTGCAGGAGGACGATCTGCTGCCCTGGGGGCGTGCGTCTGAAATACTCTTGCTCCTCGTGGCTGGGCCCGCCGGTTGCAACCAGGATTACAGGCCCAACAATAAGTTCTGTTTCGTTCCCCTTGGCTATGAACTCCTTCCGCTCAAACCAGACCAAACGTTTGCCACAAGCATGTATGCGATTCAGAAGGTCAGTAAGCAAATACTGAGTCTCGCTGACATCGAGCTCCGCATACAGAGGCACATATTGAAGATCAGGGCTTTGGACCCCAAAAGATTGCTTGTGGGCAAAAGAAATACATGTTGTGTATAACGATGGAAGAATCAGAAACGCGATCGAAACTTGCAGATTCAACTTCATTTTTTACCATGTTCATAATGAATGGGCCGTTCTGCTGGTCCTACCCGCAAATCGGCTCGTGACACGAACGATGAAACGGCTTTATAGGGAACGCATAAGGAGACCACCCTGTCAAGGGTGCATCTCTACAGAGAGGCCTGGAGAATGTGAATTATCATTCTTAGATTCATTGTGACGAGCGATATCATTTTTACAAATTCACTTCTGCAGTGGATTTAACAATCCGCACCATCAGCAGCCAAAGCTGGCCAGGGGCAGGAAGCCCAAGTGCAGTCTAGCAAACTCCAGGTTCTTTGCAGTGCCAGCCTTCTTGATGGATGGCAGGTCTAGCTGCAAATCCCCCCTCGTTCATTATAAGAGCCAGCTAAAAATTCCAACATCTGTTCTTGCAACAAATCAGCGACAGCATAAGGTCGCAACACTGAAAACGCAGGGCAACAGCCTCGGACGATTGTCCCATGCATTCCAAGCATCATATGAGTATCCTTTTGAGTCGGGTCCAAAGGAGTCCGCGCATGCCAACAGGGATCCAACAACAGGCAACAACTGGCTCCCGTGATAAAGTAGAAGCATCAGAAGCAGCTCTCGAGTTGCTCCTCCCTTGCTTGGTGTTCCAGACAGCGCTGCAGCAAACTACCTTCCTTGCGCAAGCGCATCTGAAAGTCATCCAACCCTCCAATGCAATGCAACCCTCAATGTACAACTCCTCAACCCTTGCCTGCAACGATCCACAGGGGGCTTTATGCAAAGCCTACAGGGTATATCCCCTAGCGCGCAAGGGCCTTGCTGCAACAAAGCACTACCAACCAGCCACTCTTAATCAACGCCACAACTGAATGTTTTTTCTAGTTCTGGTATTGACAGCTGCGAGGGAAGAGTGCCTGGGTGGGCAGATCTACAGCGGGGTTACCCTGCACACCCCACAATGGGTGAGCCTGATGCATGATCCCATAAGCAGCTGTAACCATCAACCAGCCGCCACCACTCCAAATGCGCTGCAAAGCAGCTGCCAAAGAGCGCTTGATGCCTCCAGACAGCCGTCTTTGCTTGTGCTGCATCTGTTATGCACATTCACTGGACGACTTCCATGCCATTTCTGCTCCGAGCGAGATGGAAAATGCAGGCCCGGGGGGGCAGCGGGTTCCCCCGCTGGTGGAGGCAGGCGGGGGGAGCGCCCCCTCCTCGGCATATGGATCGAAGGGCACTCCGGGGGCCCGGCGGCTCAGTATTTTGAGGATGAGGCGGCCTGCGTTTGACCGCTTGGCGCCGATCCTGAGTCGGCCCTGCCCCAAAGAGGTGACCGCCACCAGAGCTGCACAGCACATATAAATTCCCATCAGCAAACTTTGTAGGGGCCAAGAAAAACAGACTCATTATGCCAGAAGCGACATTCTACATTGGGCTGCTTTTTGGTTTTAGCATGCAAAAATTCTTTAAATGTTCACTAGAGGCGAAAGACATTTCTTACACACACAGGGTGGAAATCTGGGGATGCCCGGGCGAGCAGCAATGAAGGATGCATACAGCCTGGAGTTTCAAATAATACTTCCCGAGCTTGTAACTGGTATAAAATGCAAGGGTGACTGGGCGGTGACTCACCGCTCGTGAGTCGCCGGACATGGCCACGGACGTCTCGTGCTCCGCCAGGTCATCGGCGCTGTTTCTCCGGTTCAGCCACACCACCCCCAAGATGACCATTCCAAAGAGGGCCACTCCGGCCAGCGACGCGAAGACTGAAATCAGGATGATCGCCGTCCTAGACAGGCCGCCGCTGCCGCCCGCACCGCCGGCCCCGGCCGCCGGCGCCGAGCCGAGCGCCGCGGCCGCTCCGGTGCCTGTTTGGGCAACACGAGTATCTGTGAGCATCCTCCTCCATCCCTTTGTCTAACTTCCTTCATTTCGATCTTTATAGACCTCCCATTGACACATGTACATGTGGATGTGCAGAGGCCCATTCCACCTTAATCAGCTGAGGAAACTGCAGAATCAGGCACAGACGCGCTATCTAGGTGCGCCAAAATACCTGCCCGCATCATCATGAAAGCAATGCTCCATTGCAGAGGCCAACATGGGTGTTTCTGCCTGTCCATCCTTACATGCTATCCATATGGCGGCCTTAGTTCAGTGTTGGGCGGTGGACATTGTGGAGCAGCAAATACAACCCTTGGCTGGTTCGCAGCACACTGTGGCCAAGCAGCAGATGGCAGCCTGAAGTCAAATCGTGTGCATTGCAAAGAACAAGAGGCTGACGTGTCAACACCATATACCAATATCCGGCCGGCGGGGATCTGTACATATACTGAGCGTCGTGCCCGCCGTTGCTTGGGTCTGAACTGGATCTGGAGGGTCCATCAAGGGGTGGGGTATCTGGCAGTCTTTACCTGCAGCCTTTCTGCAGACGCATCTTGCCTAGGCAAGGAAAACAAAATAACAGAGAAAACAACTCCGCAAACAGCGTCGCGCACCTGGAGCGGCTATTCGGCCGGGCAGCTGCGTCTTGGCGAGCGCTGCCGCGAGTGCGTCCGGTGACGTGGCGGCCGCGAATTGCTGAGGGCTCATGGCTCCCGTCCGCAGCGCCAGCAGCTGATCCGCCAACTGCAGCAAGGGAGGCAACATATTGACATCAGAGGTCGATGCATTAATGGGCTGCAAAAAGCATCACCCACAGCCAATACTGCTGATCTGCCAACTGCACCAGAGGCAGTGTATTAATGCGGTAGCAGGGGTAGATGCTTTTTGCGCTTGTTATTGTCACCAGTACATGCTTTTCCTGCCGGAGGCAAGGTGCGTATGCAGACAAGCTGCAAATAAGTGCTGCCATAAATCCTACCCCTTGTTGGACTTGCCAGATCCAACCAAGACCCAATCAACGTAGGCACATGCTCAGTATATTTATCGCCACCTGCCATCCGGGGCCAGGACGTTGATATCATGGGTAGAAACAGCTATAATGGTATTCCTCGGACTCTAATGTACTTCATCACTCGTGCAAATTAAATACCAAATATATAATCGTAAGTGTGTGCTCAAAGCAGAGCAAGCAAATGCAACGATCTGGACCCTATATTAGCAGAGCACTATGTTGCATCACGGCAATGCACTTGTTTGATTAGGGGCACATCTTCTTTTCAGTTGTGAAAACCACAAAGAAATTGCCCAAAGTCACTTTTTGTGAAAGCTGCACCTTCACTGTAAAAGGTGCAAGCAATGTTCTGCAGGACTACTGAGCAGCTGTAGTCATGCAAGGGCGATTTAATCGAGGCAGTTCAATTTAAGGTGCTCAGTATCAATTAAGAATATTCAAAGGGGCGCGCACCACTGCCTGTGCGTAGTAGGATGTCTTCTCGACGTCCGCAGCGCTGGTGGCTGCATCCGCCAAAGAGTTGAGGTTGGCTGTGGCGCCAGTGGCCGCAGCAAGGAAGTCCGAGGTCAGGCCTGGCGAACACGAAAACAACAGACAGATATCAGTCAAAAATTTGATTACATACGCGAGAGTTCTTCTCAGCCTCTCAACCTCTCACACATGTGTTCAGACACCATTTTGGCAGCTGACAGTCGTGTGGAGCTCCTTACTATAAATTAGCAGAATAGTGGCATTCAACCTGCATGTGAATGGCTTTGCACCAGCAACAGAAACACTTGGAACTGACATCTACTAATCTTACAGCTTAGTGAAGTTAGATGCGCCTGTACCTTGTACCATTTGGCTTGCCCGTGGGGGCTTTTGCTAGTGAGCCTGAAGGAAGACAAATCACTTCTAAAGAGGGAAAGAAATTTCAAATTCGAAATTGAAAGGGTGCCAGTGGCGCACCTGGGGCGAGGCTGCTGCGCACGGAGGGGTCTGGGTTGGAGGATGCAGAGGCCATGGTGAACTGCAGAAGGCTGCCCACGCTGTTC